TTAAATGGTGTTTGTGTGTTTCTATAGCCACCAAGTCAATCAATGATTCTGGGCGCTTACAATTCAAAAATTGATTTTCTTGATATTTACCTCCTCCACATTAGGTAAAAAATGATAGGCTACTTGTAGCTTCAGGGATTGGATACATTGTGTTAATCATTGTTACATATAGTGCAAATAGTTATTATGGAGCTTGTAAAGTATGATGCTAGGATTAGAGACATTCAATCTGTATTCAACTATAGTTTTTAGTGATAGGGCTACAGCAGTGGTGGGTTGCTACTGGTTCGTCCCGGATTGGGCAAACCAATAGTGGCAGTGGCAGGAGGCTCTGCCCACACGCCTGGACGTCTCTGCGCATGCGCAGAAGCTTCTGCACATGCACAGAAGCTTCGCGCATATGCAGAAACGCGCACACATCCACAAGCGAACCGGTAGTGACGGCATTTGAAGACCATTACTGGGCTATAGACTTACGTTGTAATAATCTGGAACTTTGTTAGATAGCTACAAATAATAATAATGTTTGGCTAACTTTGTTGCTATTTAGTGGTCCTTCAAGTTTTATAAACCAGATACAATAGTCCCGTCTATGGATAGCAATCTCCCTATAAAATTTACATTACAATGTCAGCATAACAAAATGAGATAAGATTTTCATTGGTATCATCATGATCTCCAAAATAAAAGTAGGATTTTTTAAATTAAGGTAAGTTTGAAAATGACAATTTTTAAATATTTAAAACTTCCTCTGCATGTTGGGATCAGTTTTGAACAGGCACTAAACAGAGTAGTTATTAAGCAAGGTCTATCTGTATATTACTGCAAAGGTGCTATAATCTTTAGTCTTAAAATCCAGACAAAAGAAGTGATAACAAACATACCTTACATGATATATTTTTTTTAGTTTTGAGATGGCATAGGATATAAGCCTGAAAGGATGACAGAATACGATAAACATAAACAGTATTTAGGGTTGTTCTGGTTATCATAATGCATTTCAGTTTCAGAATACAGGTAGCGCTTGATTTACAACCACAACTGAGTCCAAAATTTATGTTGCTAAGTGAGATAGTTGTTATGTGAGTTTTGCCCCATTTTACGACCTTTCTTACCACAGCTGATAAGTAAATCATTGCAATTGCTAAGTTAGTAACACAGTTGTTAAGTGAATCTGGCCTTCCTATTGACTTTGCTTGTCAAAAGGTTGTAAAAGGTGATCACAAGACCCTGGGACACTGTAACTGTCATGAATATAAGTCAATTGCCAAGCATCTGAATTTTGATCCATGACCATGGGAATGCTGCAACAGTCACATGAAAAATAGTTATGAGTGTTTTTTTTAGTACCGTTGTAACCTAGAACGGTCATTAAATGAACTGTTGTAAGGAGAGATATTTGGAGCTCTCTGAGTTTGGCTCTTTTCTTGCAGATGTTTCATTACCCAAACTAGGTAACATCATCAGCATCAATGTTACCTAGTTGGGTAATGAAATGTCTGCAAGGAAACAAGCAAGCTCAGAGAGCACCAACAACCCCTCATTTCAATTCTGAGCTACAAATATTTTCCATTATTGGAACTGTTGTAAGTTGAGGACTAGCTGTTTCTGAGCACAATTTCACCCACTCAACTTTTTCCTCATAACACAAAAATGTGGCTGCCATTTAATATGATTGAGTGGAGACAGAGGCAGGTAAATTGGTGGATTGTATTACTGTAACATGTCTTCAAGTGCCCCAGAAGTTTGTTTGAGTATAGTTGTCCTGAGATAACAATCCCAATATCAGGTGGAAAAGCAAATAAGCTCACAAACTTTTAACTGATATCAGTTTCAGGAACTGACATCTGTTTGTCAAAAGAGGTGTCTGATTGGGTAACAAAGTTGGGTAAAAAGATTGTCTACTTTTGATAAATTGTTATCCAGAGTTTTGGGAATGACACCAGATTTCCAGTTAAGCACCACTTATGTAATTGTTACTCAATCATAGCAATACCCAGTCATAATATCTATTTATGACTCATTCTCCTTCAGACAAATAGAGTAGCAGCAACAGGTAGCCACCATTCTTGGAAGGATCCATTCTTAGCCTGGGTATGATGTGGACCTTGTGATGCTACTGTGAGGCTCATGAAGCACAGAAGAAAAAAATGCAGCGGAGGAAAGTGGAGAAAGAAAGTAAAAGATCTGGATTTGGCCTGAGAAGGAAAAGTGGAAGCAATAGAGAAGAACCCTTTTACCTGTTCCTTATTTGTCCACTGTCAGTAGAAGTTTTGCAAGGGAGATTAGAAGTGAGAAAGAGATGCAGGCAGGCTGCATAGATATTCATGACTCATGAAAGAAGTTCTATGAGGTCAATGTTCCTCAAGCCAGGCACAAAAATCTCTTGCTGTGGGAAGATTTGGTCACTCTGATAGCCAAAGTAGACATGGCCACTTAGGGTTGGGGCTTCACTATTCAATTAGAGGGGACAAGTTCTATAGTGGACCAGTTAGAGAACTGCAAGTTATTGGAGGAAATATTTCTGGCTCTTGTGTGGGATGTAAGGGGTTTTCTTTAATTTTCAATGGAAAAATATTTTCTTGCTATATTCTTGGAACTTCAGCTATTGACTGAGGGAGTGCACCAGGAGCGAAATCCAGCAAGTTCTGACAGGTTCTGGAGAACCGGTAGCGAAAATTTTGAGCAGTTCGGAGAACAGGTAGCAGAAATTTTGAGTAGTTCAGAGAGCCAGCAAATACCACCTCTCTCTGGCCCCAGAGTGAGGTGGGAATGGAGATTTTGCAATATCCTTCCCCTGCCATGCCCACCAAGCCATACCATGCCCACCAAGCCATGCCCACAGAACCGGTAGTAACAAAATTTGGATTTCACCACTGGAGTGCACTTTAGCCCAGGTAGTTAGAAAGGCTCAACAGAGACTGCATTTCCTTAGTGTCTTGCAGAAAAAATCAGATGGAACAACAGCTGATGACTTCCTTCTACCCATCTACAATAGAAAGCACTCTCACATATTGTGTCATGGTATGGTATGCTGGTTTAACAGTCGCGGACAGCAAGCATTACATGAGCACAGCACAAAAAATCATGGGCTGCCCCCTAACCCCACTGGATGAAATCGCCAGGTCCCGCTGTCTCAGCAGAGCGAGGAAAATCCTTAGGCATGATTCACATTCTGGACAGCATTTCTTTATTCTCCTACCATCGGGCAGGAGATATAGAAGCATAAATAGGCTGAATAAATAGGCTGAAAAATAGCTTTTATCCATGGGCTGTCACAATAAGATTTAATGTGATTGACTTACAGTACCAGTGCAACGTGCAACATGTATATATCGGTGTAATATAACAGTATGTATGTATGTATGTATGTATGTATGTGGAAATGTGTGCTAGTTTATTACTTATTTGGGTTTGGGGATTTCTTTTTTTATTTATTGATTTATTGAGATGTATTCTGTGTTCTTGGGTGGGCTGTACCAAGGGAGGTTCATTCAATTTTGTTGTACACATGTTGTGCATTGACAATAAAGGTTTGAATGAACCTCTTACAACAAAATGCAAGAATTTATCATGGAGCTGGCCAAAGATGTGAATGAACCCCTGGAAGATTACAAATGATTAAATCTCCTTGGTTTCCATTATTATTATTTTTTTGCATGAATATTTATGCTTTCAACTTTTCCTGTTCTTACTATTTCTATTCATTTAGAAGAGAGCTGGAGTAGTTTAGAAATCAACATATGGGATTGGCATTAGGAATTATTAGTCTCAAATCCTGTAGAAGCTCATGGAGTCTCATTCCATTCTCTCTCACTCCAGATTACTCAAGAGTAATTTTTGTGATGACAAATGGGAAGAAGGAGCACTAAGAACATTGTCTCCATCTCCTAAAGGCGGAATATAAATGGATATTGAATATTTTGAAAGATTACTTGAGTTTTCATGGATGAAATGTTATGTCATCCTCAACAGTGGTGGGTTGCCTCCGGTTCGGACCTGTTTGCAAAAACCGGTAGTAAAACTGGCGGAAGGCTCCGTCCACTGAGCCGGATGTCATCATAGGTTATTTGCGCATTCGCAGAAGCTTCTGCGCATGCACAGAAGAACGTGCGTGCACAATATGAACCGGTAGTAAAGGTAAGTAGAACCCACCCCTAATCCTCAAGCTGTTGCCAACTACTTCCTCACCCCAGTAGATGTCCTTTTTGCTTAATTTTTCATTGGGGCTGATTACATACTACAGTGTTTATGACCTGCCTTGGATTTTCAGCAAATATTGTCGGATGATTTTAGCCATCTATATTCTGGTGCTTCAGAGAGGCTTTCATATATGAATTGATGATATTCATGCTAATTGTTGTCGTGGAAAATTTAGATCTTTAGAAGGATAATATCTAAGATTTTATCTATTTACCAATTTTGAAATCCATTTTCAAGGCTCTTGTATTCTTAATAAGCCTCTACTTATTCTTCCAATCTCCATCTGGCAAACTGAATTCATTGCAGTCTGTTATACAGCCCTGCGCTTCAAATAACCTAATGGGGCTATATGTCCCATATAAATCCAAAACTAGGAGGCAGAGATCACTTGCACTTTATTGTGGTCAACTATGTGATCAGTATGGGAAATACTTCATTATTTTGGAACACATAATTATCCATAATGCAGCTTCTAATGAAGGTGTAAAGGAAGAAACATAAATAAAACGTTCCTTTACACTTAGTTCCTTTATTTTGGTTTAGTTTTGCTATTCCAGATCTGAATTGCAAAAATCCAAACCATTAGAGTTACAATTTTCTGTACAGCATACTGTCTTCTGATGTCAACCCAGGTCTGGTGAGCTTTGCAGAAAACATGGCACGAGTTATTGACGAGTTATTGAAGATTTGAAGCCTATTCCGAAGCCGGGAAGCCCGTTTCTCTTTAAAGAAGGGCGTGCGCCACGGGTTAAAAAGTGGGCAGGCTGATTGTTTTGCGCCCGCCTTTCCTTTCAGCAATAGAGCTATAATAGGTTAAAAGTTGGCTTTTACCCCCAGGATTCGAGATCATTTGAAGCTGGTGAGTGAAGTCGATTAGATCGGTACACAGGAATTATAAGAATGAGACTCTTGTAAATTAGCGCAGCCAGCCGGAGGAGAACAGCCGGCATGCAATTGCACCCGGGAAGAGAAGGAATGGTAGGCTCTGCTTGGACTGCAGATGCTGATTGGATCCGCTCCGGTTGCGCTGCCTTTCCAGATCTGTGAAAGGCGGAACTATTCCGAAGCGCAGGATCGCCTCCGCGCGACTAGGAAAAACCTGGTGCAAAATATGCGGAATTACCGTGTTTAATTTAGAAAAGGAACGCCGCTGCGGTTTTCCTAGGTCTTCCAATTTGACTGGAAAGGCCTTCCCGAATTAGCAATTCCTTTCTCAGAATTGGGTTTTATTATGGAAAAACGAGGAGTCGTTTTCCTTCCTTTCCTCCTGGGTGGAAGCCCCGAGAGGGCCCTGAAAGAGGCCTGGATCAAATAAAGAAAACATGATTCGATTTATTCAGAACAAACGTATTGGACATTGACCACGATAAACCTATTCTACTCAAATTCCATTGAGTTCAGTGGGGATTTGCTAATAAATACGGTTGTTGGAAGCACCAGATGGTTAAATGGGGTAAAAGAAGGCCTGTGACAGTCAAAGGGGAACTGTCAATCTCTAAATTTAGGAGTGGCTATATTTTAATTGCCCTTGTGACAGGAAACAATATTTGCAGAAGTTGTGTAAGGTTGAAAGGTCTCCTTGTATATCTGACTTATTAAATACCTGTTTAAATTGATAAACAATCTGTTTTAGTAAGTAAAGAAAAATAAATACATAGAATAATTTCCCCCCTTCATCACAAAAAAGATAAACAATTTTACTAACTTATTACTTCTCTTAAAATATAATAAATGATCTCTTTTTTTATATGCCATTTCTTTTCTATAAACAAAGACTTTGTTCTGATGTCAGCCAGTCCATTAAGAATTATCTGAGATCTATTTTAATCTCAATCAAATAAATCTACTTTTTATTCCTTCTTTTTACTTCTAACAATCTTGATCTTTCAAATTAGTTATTATATTTTTAACTTTCCTTTGTTACTTTATAATTATTTTTATTTTTCACAACAACAATCGTGAGGTAGGTTGAACTAGAGAAAATGATTGGCCCAAAGTCATCCAGCAGCTTTCTTGCCTAAGACTGAACTAGAACGCACAATATCCTGTTTCTAGGACAGCAAATTGGTGCTCTCGCACATGTTCTAGAACTTGATTTCATTTTTTAGTTTGTTTCTTTTCACAAAATTATTTAAAGCTTTAACAAGCCTTATATAAATCCTATAAAGCATGGGTGTCAAACTCGTTGTGTCATGTTGCTTCACATTGCTGTCATGTGATGTTTCACAACATTTTTCCCATTTGAGGGGGTGGGGTGGATGTGGCCTGCGTGTGATACATCCAGCCCACGGGCTGCCACTTGACACCCCTGCTATAAAGGAAAAGTGTGCAGGTTACGTCTGGTTTCTTATTTGCATATCCATTTCAATTATGAAAATTTCAGTTGGTTTATTTTATATGTACAGTGTAACAACTTTCTTATAGTCTGTCATTTTAAAATCCATTTTCAAATCGGCCTGAATCATGTCTGGTAATTCCTCTTCCATAACATCATTTAAACATTGTCTACAGAGGTGCACATTTCTAACATTTTTTGAGTTCATTGTTCAAAAATGTCCTTTAGTATATCCAGTGTTAAAATATTTTGCTTTATTCTGCCTTAGTTAATTGAATTTGAGTGTTCTCCTTTAATTAGCTTTTAATTCCTTCTAGTTTCCAATTTATAAAGTCTTATCTTAGTGTTTTTTTTTTTAAGAATTCAAAACAAAAGTATTTTCTATAGGAAAGATTTTTTTATAATTAATTCCAAAATCTTATTTCAAATTTATCTGGATATTTGTATTTCTATTTGTAATTCTCTAAAATCAAGGTTTTATTTACCCTTTTGCTGTTTATTAAAAAAAATTATTTGCCCTACCATCATAATTAGTAAGCTAGGCTCAAACCTTCCTGTTTAGCTACAATTATGAAATACTTGGGTATAGAGATACCTTTGGAAACCAGAAGATGCTTAATAAGGAACAGAAATGGATAGATACTGAAAAAGAGAAATAGAGGGGAAGGCAAGGCAAGGCAAGGGGAAAGCAACTGTGGGAAAAGGAGACTATAGGACAATGCATTCTGTTCAAACTATTACAAGGTTTCCTGCCATTGATTTATTGATACTGGTATCATCTTTGAAGTAGCATGATTAAAAAATGCAAAGCCTATGTTTTGACAAGAAAAATAAAGATCCTGAATAGATATAAGCCACTAGAGGGAGTACCACTGATTTACAGTATGATCAGAACTTATGCTTCCTTCCATGATAGTTTGTATATATTAGCCAAAAGATTTATTCAGTTTATTTGAGTATGCTTCACCGGGATAGGGAAACAAGCAGATTGATCAAACTGACTGATATGTGCATAAGTGCACCAGTGTGCCTACCGTTCCTGTCCTAATATTCCTTTTTACATACTCTTTTCATGTATTCAAATTATATTTTTATACTTTTACCTGTTTGACAAATAAACTTACGATTATGATTATGTATGTACTTCTCTTACATTACCCTTTCCCAATTGAGTACCTTCCAAATGTTTTCCGTTATCTCAGTATCTATCTATTTTATTTTATTTATTTTTATTTACCTATTTTGTCAAGCATGTATTTGATAACAAATATAAGTCTAAACATAATTATGAATACATGAAATGGATATGGATAAAAGGAAACATTAGGACAGGGATGATAGGCACACTGGTGCGCTTAAGCACGCCCCTTAAAGACCTCTAAGGAATGGGGTGAGGTCGATAGTAGACAGTGTAAGGTTAAAATTTTGGGGGTTTGGGGAAGAAATCACAGAGTCAGGTAGTGCATTCCAGGTGTTGACAGCTCTGTTACTGAAGTTGTATTTTCTGCAGTCTAGTTTGGATCGGTTTACCATGAGTTTATATCTGTTGTGTGCTCTTGTATTGTTTTGGTTGAAGCTGAAGTACCTAGCACACCTGGCAGGCATCAGGTTGAGAAAAATTACTACATTTTTGTTTTGATAATTTAGCACCTGCGAATTGATCTAAAGGCCATGTAAGGAGAGAAACATCAAATAATTATGCAGTTTTAAAATTTTATCAGTGTTGTGCCTAAAACGGAAGAGTTATAGGCATCTGCTTGCTAATGATGTTTTTGACTGCAGCATGAAAAAAGCATTCTTCTTACATTTTCTTTGTTTTCATAACTTCTTCCTCACCTCAGCAAATATGAAAGATTTCTATATTTGGTTGAAAGATTAATCTGGATTAACGTCAAGCAAAATGCAATTTTAGACAGTCTTCAAATACTGTGATAAAAACTGATTCCTTCTTTAGTTTCTTTATCATAAAAATAATTTCTCTTTATTGCACATACACACTGGGTACTTAGAGACCTTGTGGCAATAAATCCATTTGATGAGCTCTCCTTGCTTATATATAAATGGGCTGCAACAGATGTTTTCAGGCTTCATTAGACAATTGCTTAACGCATTGTAAGCCGCCCTGAGTCTCCGGAGAAGGGCGGCATATAAATCAAATTTAAAAAAAAAAAAAAAAAGACAGAATATTCCAGAAAATTCCAGGTTTGCATCGCTTCTTCAGAAGCCAACAAAAATAGTAAAATTTTAAAGTAAAATATATAGAAACATTGGTAGTTGGACTAAGCATCAGGACTGTCCACTATTACATTTAATGACAAAAGTTAAAAGTGTCTTAATTGCTTGATTAGGACTGCTGTGTAGGACTGAATTGTAGGCATTGGATCCATGGAGTTTTCATATGTTCACCATCTTGACTTATTTGTAAAAATAATAAAGAAAAAATTAACTAATTAATTTCTCATCTCACTTCTGCAGTTCGCTGTCTTTTCCAGCACATCTCCCCAGATGCAGGCCATATCAAGAAGGGTTTATTAGGGAAAATCTTGAAAGGACATGGAAATAGCTGCTTAGCCTAATAGATGATTCGAGAAAAACCATATTTGGGATGCCATTTAGTTTAGCTACTCATTAGTCCCAATTTAAAAAATTGTGGTAGCTTTATATCATTGCCTGTTCTATCACAGCTAGTGATGAATTATTTTAATATATTCTCAATATGCCTGAGTGACTGATTGGAATTGGAATTAATGTCTTAATACACTTTTAGCACCATCATTTCTGCTTTTGTATCCCTCATTCTTTGATTGGATATGCTACTGTACCAAGTGAAATAAGAGATCATCTAACCATAATATTTGGCAAGTCAATACAGCTTGAATTGTCTATAATATTTCAAAACTCCAAGGGGAATTTGAAATACCTCTTTCTTTGAGACTAATACTTCTACTTCTGTAACAATTTACTCCAGTGGTGCAGTTGTATGCAGAAGTAAGCAATTATATGCAGAAATATCCTGAAGAGAATAAAAGGAAGAATTTGTTTACCAAGTATTTGTTTTCCCAACCCTGGAATGTTTTAGAGGTTTTGGATTACAACTTCAACTCTTCCCAGTCATTCATCTTCAACACATACCGATAGCATGTAATGTAGTTCAGTTCACTTGAGGTGCTAATTAGCCTACCTGAAATTTTCCCTATAGAACTGATAATTTATTAACTGTGCTATTGTGCTAAGAAATTTTTATCTGGACTCTGGCAGTATGTATATAATGTATATAATATACATTGGTTTTCAATTAGTGTGATGTATGACTGCAGTTAATATGAATAAACCGCATTTGACCAATGACAGCAAGTTAGTTTATATAATAGGCTAAGTCAAACAAACCACATTACAGTTCAGAGCAATACTGTATATGAACACAGTTTGCAAGTATATCGAATCATCAGCAATGTACTACGTATATAATCCATAGGTGGCAATACAATCTACTAGAACAACTTTATATAACCTTCCTATATAGTATTTAAAAAGTGTCACTAAGGATTGTGATATTTAATAATACCAGATAGTTATTTCTTTGGGTTAAAAGAGTTCTAAAGAAAATGGAAAAATTACTCAACAATTTTACATACTAAATTCTGTTGTTGATTTTTTACAGTCATATTTCCCTTATTGTAAATTAATGCAACTTAAGCAATAATTTACAAGCATACCATTTCATATGAATGTATGACAAAGCACAGGAAAACATTTTTTTCATAGAATCAGTGTTATTTAAAAATACATTTTTGCTCTTTCAAATGTAGTGCTTGGGTAAAAGAATAATATTTAATTGGGGCCAGAGAAGTGAGAACTCTTGATTCTGGATTAGTTGTATGTGGCACAATATGGAAAGCAGTCATTGATAACTTTTAATACCATCTTTTTACCAATTATTATGTCATAATTTTTAAAAAGAACTTAGAACCTTAACCATTTTACATAAAAGCTTAATTAAATTAAATCACCTTAATAAAGAATCATTAAGATGATTGTAATTTAATTTTTCAGTAACATAAGTAGACATTACCCATTTGACAAATCCTGTTTTAACTTTGTTTAACGTAGATTAGGTACATTATTTTGATCTGTAGTACTGGGAAATCATAAGTTTATAATGGAAAACAACTTTGTATACTTGGAATCGCTGTTGATTGAATTTGGCCTTCTTGGTTTCATTTATGTTTCCTGGGTAGAATTACCTACGTAGAAGTCTAAAAGCATTTCTGTTACTGTTGATTGAAAATCCATTCCTCTCCAGTATGACTGGAGATCCAATTTTGTACTTTTCATTTCTAAATGATTTTAATAGCAAGAACAGTTCCTTAAAATATTGAACTTTGTTGAGAAAGAACTAAAACCAGCAATGTTTCATGTTTAATGACACATCTAGCACAGGTAATCCTAATTACTATTATTAATCATACTAATATTTTGATTTAAATTAATACTGAAGTAGCTTCTAAACCCAAACAAAATCTAGAATGAGACCAAGCCATTAAAAGACAAATATTGTCAGTTAATATCATGGGAAAGCCTAATTATAAAGTGGTGAGTGGTTTTCATATGCCTAAGAGACATCAGAAGTGAGGCCTTGCAATTCTCACCTAAGACAAAGTTGTCTTTCAATCACTAAAGAATGGAAGTTGATCAGGTGTAGCCTAGCAGGCTGGATGTCTCCTGATGTCAATATAATGAGAGATGTTCTTTAGTTAGACCTTCTTCAGCATTGTTAACTACACTAATATAATCACATTACAGTGAGGCTTGAGGTAATGATCAATTAAGCATATTAACAATGTATAGTAAATCTCTGGGATTTTTTTTTATTTAAAATTTAATAGCATGCCTTTTATATTGATCTTCATCCAAAAAAGCTTGTAGAGCAGTATGCACAGCCTTAAGCACACAATATAAATGAACTGCTAGGAGGAAAAGAGGCGTTGGACTTATCGTGAACGCTCTTTCTCCAGGAGATGCGGAGTGAGTCAGAAGTGGGATGATCCAGCCCGTCTGGCCAATCACTAAGTCGGATAATCTTGGCCACGCCTACTCAGGCCTCCCTTCCTTCCAGTTTGTTCGACGAAGGCAGATCTGCAAAACAGTCTCAAGGCAAGAAAGTACAAGAGAAATCGCAGACGGGTGGGGCTGACCCACTCCGCATCCCCTGGAGAAAGAGCGTTCACGGTAAGTCCAACGCCTCTTCTCCCACTAGGATGCGGAGTGGGTCAGAAGTGGGACATACCCAAGCTTGTCAAGTCGTTGGGCGGGAAGTCTGTGATGGTCGATGTCGAGGTGCCAGATGTACCTGTTGGAGCACTCTCCTTCTGAAGGCTGCCTCGGCGGAGGCAAAGGTGTCCAAACGGTAATGCTTGATGAATGGAATAGGAGAGGCCCAGGTAGCTGCCCAGCAAATTTCCTCGAGGGAGGCCTGCGTGGCCCAAGCAGCGGTAGTAGCTGCACTCCGTGTGGAGTGAGCCATGATACGACGTGGAATGGGGAGAGATTGTGAGTCGTAAGCTTTGGAGATGCAAGCTCGGATCCAACGCCCTATGGTGACTGAGGAAGCCTTGGATCCCAAAGACGAGGGTTGAAAAGAGAGAAATAGGGCTTCGGAGTGTCTTGAATGAGCGGTCCGAGAAATATATATCTTTAGAGCCCTGCGAACATCAAGGGTCCGCCACTTGTGTTCCAGGGGGTGAGAGGGATTGGGGCAAAAGTTAGGCAGGATAACCTCTTGCTCACGATGGAACCGTGAGTTAATTTTTGGCACAAATGCAGGGTCCAATCGGAGAATTACCCTATCTGGGTGTATCACACCAAATCTGGCCTGACAGAAAGAGCTGCCAGTTCAGAAATGCGTCGGGCCGAAGTTATGGCCACCAGGAAGGCCACTTTCATGGTTAGAAATCTGAGGGAGGCAGTACGTAAAGGTTCAAAGGGTGGGCCCGTCAAGGCTGACAGCACATGTGGCAAATCCCAAGTGGGATATCGATGTACTATGGGAGGACGTAGATTTCGAACCCCACGCAGGAATCTCCGGATAGAGAGGTGGTGAGACAGAGGCACGCCGTCCCTGGGTGACAACACCGTGGCGAGAGCTGCGACATGTCACTTGAGGGTATTATGCGCCAGGCCCTTGCTGTAGCCATCATGGAGAAACTCCAACACCTGTGGAACAGAAGCTGACAATGGGTTAATTTCGCGCGCAGAGCACCATGAGATAAATACCTTCCATGTGATGTTGTAGAGTCTGATGGTAGACTCCTCTCGGCTTGTCGTTCGTTCAGAACTGCGATAGGAAATAATCACCAGTAACGCACAGAGAATCAGGGTTTACTTTGGCAATGATAAGCTTGCAGTCAAAAGTAAAGTACAAGTCGGTGTTTTGGTTCAAAGTCAGCGCTGGGTGTAATCACACCCCAGCGCTATTTAACAAAAACTCAGCCCCTTAAACATACATCCGGTGATTATCAATCAAGCACCCCCCCACTCCCTTAACAGTAACAGCTGCGAGCACCAGAGCAGCGAGGACAGCAGAATCGGAGAGGCCCGGCAACGTCATCAATCATCACCCTGAATGCTGCTATCCAGGAACTGTTTGTGTGTTCGCTGCGGCTGCTTATCTCCACTTCTTCGTCTCCCACACCCCCCATCGATGGCGAGCTCCGGTAGGACTCGACAACTCCTTTTTGTCAGCCTGCATCACCCGGATGAAGTTTTCTGAGTATCTCGCTTCCCTCAAGAGGAGCCCTTCAAGCGCCAAGCGGTTAGGCTGAGCCACTGGGGCTCTGGGTGCTGGATTGTCCCTTGACTGAGGGACACCTTCTCTGGAGGGAGTTGCCAGGGGCGCGTCGTTGAGAGGGCTACGAGGTCGGAAAACCATGGTCTTCTTGGCCAATAAGGAGCGACGAAGACGACGTCCGCTTCCTCGGCTATGATCCTGCGAAGGACCCGCGGGATTAATGGAATCGGCGGGAACGCATAAAGTAGTTCCCGAGGCCATGGACAGCGGAGTGCATTTGTGTCCTCCACCCCCTGCGATGGGTAGTGGGTGAAGAATCGTCGTAGCTGTGTGTTCTCCGGGGATGCAAATAGGTCCACCTGTGGTTGGCCGAACCAAAGACAGATGTCCCAAAACAGGCTGGGATTGAGGCGCCATTCCGATGTGTCTATTGTGGTGCGGCTGAGATAGTCTGCCTGGAGGTTGTCCTTCCCTGCGATGTGATCCGCCCTGAGGGACTGAAGGTGAGATTCCGCCCACCTCCCGAGAAGAAGAGCCTCCTGCATTAGGGTCCTGGACCTTGTGCCCCCTTGGCGATTGACGTGTGCTTTCGCCGACACGTTGTCTGTAAGCACCAGCAAGTGTTGTCCCTGGACAGTCGATGAAAGGACCGAAGGGCCAGGCGAATGGCCCTGAGTTCCAGTAGGTTGATACTGGACCTGGCCTCCGTCGGGGACCACCGCCCTTGAGCGACCTGGGGACCCAGGAGCGCGCCCCAGCCAGTCAGACTGGCGTCTGTAGTCATATTCAGAGGAGGTACGTCCAAGAAGATGCACCCTTTGTCCAGAGCCGGGGACAGCCACCAGTGCAATGATCTGCGTACCGACAGGGGGACCCTGATCTTGGATTTGGAGGCCGCTGACCGTGCCCGTTGATGAGGGAGCAGCAGCCATTGAAGACTGTGGCCATGAAGCCGAGCCGAGGGAACTATGTCTGTGCATGAAACTAGTTTCCCCAGCAGGTGGGATAGGTCTAGAGTGGGAGCTGTCGGGTCTTGTAACAGATGCCGAATCAGGGATCTGAGGCTGTCTTTCCTCTCCTGAAAAAGGAATACCTGCCCTACCTGCGTGTCTATAATTGCCCCTAAATGAGTTAGGTGAGTTTGTGGGTCCAACTGACTCTTGGGCTTGTTGACTAGGAACCCATGATTCTGTAATATTTGCAATGTGAGAGACACATTGGTTCTGGCTTTGTCGAGGGACGAGGCTTGTATTAAAATATCGTCCAGATAAGCCTGAATTCGAATCGGAATGGACATCAGAAGTGGGGCCTTGCAATTCTCACCTAAGACAAAGTTGTCTTTCAATCACTAAAGAATGGAAGTTGATCAGGTGTAGCCCAGCAGGCTGGATGTCTCCTGATGTCAATATAATGAGAGATGTTCTTTAGTTAGACCTTCTTCAGCATTGTTAACTACACTAATATAATCACATTACAGTGAGGCTTGAGGTAATGATCAATTAAGCATATTAACAATGTATAGTAAATCTCTGGGATTTTTTTTTATTTAAAATTTAATAGCATGCCTTTTAAATTGATCTTCATCCAAAAAAGCTTGTAGAGCAGTATGCACAGCCTTAAGCACACAATATAAATGAACTGCTAGGAGGAAAACAATGTCGGTTGGAATTAGGCAGTACTGAAACTGAATCAAATAAATAATTCCTAAAGTTAACTATTTTTACCTACCTGCCAGTTATAGTGAAAGAAGTTCATATGATACAGTGGAATGCTGTTGGGTATATGACACGGAGTCGTATCCTCTGAGGGTGGATGGAGGACTATCAAGTGACAAAACTTGTGCTGTGATGCTTACCTCAATGTTTACATGTTTGTGTTGACATTGCAATGCAAATATGAAAGCGTAGAGCTTGTATCATCATGATGCAGATTTTGTAATTTTGGCTAAGTTATGCTATGCTATGTAAAAGCCATACAGGTAGTCCTCAATTTACAACCATAATTGAGCCCAAAATTGTTAAGTGAGTTTTGACCCGTTTTATGACTTTTCTTGCCTCAGTTTTAAATGAATCACTGCAGTTGATAAATTAGTAATCCAGTTGTTAGTGAACCTATCTTCCCCATTGACTTTGCTGGCCAGAAGGTTGCCAAAGGGGGTCACATGACCTTGGGACACAGCAACGGTCAAAAATATGAACCAGTTGCTAAGCACCTGAATTTTGATCACATGATCATGGGGATGCTGCAAAAAAAAAATCATGACTGAAAAATGGTCATAAGTCACTTTTTTCAGTGCCATTGTAACTTTGAATGGTCATTAAATGAACTACATGTATTCTGTCTGAAAAAAACTCTTGTCCTTTATTTATTTTTATTATAAACAAGAGCTTTAAATGAATGTTACTGTTTCCCCCATCAAGTGTTTTATCAAGATTGCCCTGGAACTGCATCTAATTCTCACCTTATTTTGGAATAATAACAAAATAAGATATTTATCCATGAGAATGAGGACATAATTAATGTCTTATTTATTGAATCAACATTTGAATTTACACATTGTAATCATGGTTTGCTTACTCATGGTTTATTAAATAAACCACACATTACTGGGTTAATACTAGACAACATCTTCAATATAGTTTACAAACTAGATGAGTGAGATCATGAACTCACTAAATCCAGACATAGAAAGTTTCATATGAGTATCCACCTTCTTCATTATGATTTTACTGATTGCTGTTGTGATTTCAGCTAGGGGTTCAAGCCCAGCTTTCTTCCCAAAACCTGATTAATTTTCACACCAAGATGTTAACTCAAGCTTTTTTATTACATATGGTATTTATTACCGGTTACTTCTATAATTACAAACATAAATTTTTATACAGTTCATGGAAGCTAGAATTCTCATGTAAATTTATATTTAAGAATATGGTTTTCATTTTTGTTTCGATATGGCAGTATATCAAGCTAGTTGAGCCCTTATTTGAAGTTTGAATGATAAAAGTCAGAGTTGTCCTCAATGAATATCTCAATGGACTCAAAACTTGGAATAATTTAAACCGTAAAGTCTCCTTAGAGTTTGACCGCTAGAGAGTGTAGCATGTGTAGAGACTGTAACGTGGAAACATGTTGTTTGTCATGTTTTATTTGGAGAGTTTTGTTTGATCTACAATCTGGGATTTGTTGATGCTTTATTTAGAGAGCCAAAAAATTCCAGTTCTGTCAGTATAACAGTGGATCCTGAAGGGTTGCATACAAAGGCAAGAGAATATGCAGTCTTATTGCATTTACTGAAGAGCACTGTTGTATCATCCTTAACAAAACCTCTGAGTAACACATCCATAGTTGAAACTAGAAAGCGAGACCTGAAATATAATATTTAATCTGAAAGTAGTAGTATTCAAGACTATAGGAAAGCTCTCTGGGGAGGAAATGCCTTTCTTGACTTTGTGGAATCACTAACAAGGCCTTGAAAATGATCTACAGAATCGGACAGATGATTGCACATGTGGAGTGAGAAGAAGTTAACATGTTTAGGCTTCATAGTACTGCCATTTATATTTATATTTGGTAAGGAAATGGCTAGGGAGAGAAATCACAGTGTTGTAGCATAATATAATTGCAATAATTCCTTGAACTATTTTTTACTAGATAAAGTTTGATAATTTTCATTGTGGCTGTACTAATATAGTAACCATAATTCAAGTGCAAGATTATGTCACAATTACACCTTAACTATTACTGATACAGAGAGTCCTCACTGAATGACCACTTCTTCAGCCGCCATTCAAAGTTATGATGGTACTGAATGAGGGGGACTTATGACAACTCATAGTTGTTCGCACAATCGTGATTGTGATTCAGGTGCTTAGCAACTGGCTCACAATTATGATGTTTCAGCATACTGTAATTGCATTATCGATATTTGCAACATTCACTGCTGACTTCTAACAAGCAAAGGCAATGGGAAATTCAGCAGGAGGTCACAAATGGTCATCACTTGACTATAAGATACTGTAATTGTGCGAGAATCATCTAACTATGGTTAACTGGGATTGCCATCATAACTCAATGCAGTATTGTAGAATTGGCCCTTATGACTATGTTGTTTAACAACAAACTTGCCAGTCCCAATTATCATTGTTAAGTGAGGACAACCTGTAGGAGAAGAAAGGGAAGTAAATCTGTGGTAAATATTGCATTCCATTCAGTTGTGAAATCCAACAGGTTCTGACAGGTTCTGGAGAACCGGTAGCGGAAATTTTGAGCAGTTAGGAAAACCGGTAGCAGAAATTTTGAGTAGTTCGGAGAATCGGCAAATACCACATCTGGCTGGTCCCAGAGTGGGATGGGAATGGAGATTTTGCAATATACTTCCCCAGGAGTGGGGTGGGAATGGAGATTTTTTTTTTTAATTTGATTTATATGCCGCCCTTCTCCGAAGACTCAGGGCGGCTTACAATGTGCTCAGCAATAGCCTTCATCCTTTTGTATATTTATACAAAGTCAGCTTATTGCCCCCACAAACTGGGTCCTCATTTCACCTACCTTAGAAAGGATGGAAGGCTGAGTCAACCTTGAGCCTTGGCGAGATTCGAACCCTGCAGTAATTGCAGGCAGCTGGTCTTAAGCAGCTTAATAACAGGGTGCCTTTTGCAGTATCCTTCCCCTGTCACACCCACCAAGCCATGCCCACCAAGCCATACCCACAGAACCGGTAGTAAAAAAATTTGGATTTCACCACTGATTCTATCCTGGAATATGGTTGGCATGACTGGCATAACTGGATTGTTTCGACAAGACCACTGTAACCAATTTTTCATTTTTAAATAGTGCTTTATTTGATTCCTTTCAAGGTAATCAAGTGAAAAGATGTGCAAGATAACAACGGTTTTACTGGCTTTGCTAAGCCTGAGTTTCTCCTTAGAATTAAGCAGCTGCCATGTACGATGGAGTGCCATGGGGAATATTTTTAGAAGACTAAAATATGCTTTGCCATCACAAGGAGATCCTGGACAACCACTGTTTCTAACACCTTACATTGAAAGCGGTAAAACTGAGGAAGGTAACATTGATTTATAAAGATGACATTTTTAAAAGACTTAAACCATGCAAAAAGATAATATTTCCAGTGTCTCCAGCTTTTCTGCAGTGTCTGCACATAATAAATCTAAGACTGTGCAAAGGATTCCCAAGAGAAGTTTTGTAAAATGCTCAAGCAGCTGTGATTTTTGCAAGTTCCCTCCTTTTGTGGGAGCTGTTCCCAGTTGTGCCTGCATAAAAGTACAAGTATAATCACTACACCTTTTTTCATTGCCATCTGTTTGTTTGTTTATAGTTATCCCTATTAAAATCCAGTGGTTACAACAGTAAGATTTGAGGATGTATTTTAAACTTTGCATTATGTTTGACTGGAACTTTACATAAATGTAGTTGAATTGGAGGAATGTATTTTACGTTTATTCTCTTTCTATCATTGTTTGGATTGTGGACCACCCAGGTCCATAGAGTAAAAATGCAGACATTTGCCACAGGTCATATTACAGTCTGGATATCTGTATGGATACAACTTGAAGAAAACAAAAACTTTTAAATGTATTGTGTTTCCAGTTGCCAAGTTATAATATGTTTTACAGGAAATTCAAAGAACTGGATTCCTTTCTCACTTTTCATAAGTAAGGGGGACTGAGGCAAACTTACTATTGTTCCAACTGAAATTTTCTCATCTTAAAGCTTTAAATTAATATTGCAAAGCCAGCATTGTGTGATCGGTGTAATTGTGACTTCCCATGGAAAGGAGGATATAAACTTACTGCTGTCGTAGCAATCTGAACCAGTATACTTACTGGCAAATTAATAGAAGTTGGCTTTTTTATTCATTTTCTCTTTCTTGTAAATTAAACAAGCATATTTTTTTTTGAAATCCATCATTACAGCAAGAGAAAGTATATTTATAAAAAACCCAGATCCTCGTAATACTTAAATGAAGCTGAGTACCTCATATGTTTATCCCAGCTTTTCACTGTTGGTTCTTAATTAGAAAAAGTGGTACACCATTTAAATAATAATAAAAAATTAAAATAAATTTTTATTTTTTTAAGTTAAATATTTTTTTCTGGGTAATTGTGTAAACATTAGAGTAATTTTGTCCAAACTGTATCCTGCAGGCCTCATGTGGCCTGGACACCTGGTAATGTGGCCCCACAAGATAATTTTAAAAATGTTAAAAGATAAAGGAAGTTTGTTATTTATATATGTTTTATACGTGACCCATGACAATTCTTGTTCACTCAGTGTGGTCCAGACAAGCCAAACAATCATACATTACAATGATTGGATTGTTGAAAATGTTTATTTATTTTTATTACTTTTTATGCACAAGTCAGTTATATTGTATATATTCAGATTCTTGAATTCTAGTCCAATCCTTCATTTAAACAAATGATAATGATTTATCATTCTTTCAAAGGAAGGCAACTAAGCCTAGTGGAACATCTTCCAGGACCTAATGTGAAGAGTTATTCAGGCTATCTGACAGTCAACAAGACTTACAATAACAACCTTTTCTTCTGGTTCTTTCCTGCTCAGGTGGGTACAATATATTTTTCACCTTTTGGAACTAGAAGACGAGATTAGAAAGGCAATTGCCTCTGTAGTGTGGGTACATCTGATATTAAAGGAACCTTAAGCCCATAGAAGCGGTAAAAAGAAACACTACACTATCATTTATCATTTTTAGACAAATGATTCTCTTGTTATAATTTTTTAGATAAATAATTATTTCTGTATTACTCTACTGTATGAGGCTATGAATAGATTTATATCAGAAAGAAAGTCCTGGGCTACTATATGTTAGTATATTAAAGGCTGGGAAAATAACGCACCTCAATTATTTTGATACATACACACTGATGATGCATAGACAAAATAAAATTTGAATGTAACATTGGGATAATTTAAAATATGACCTCACATTTACTTTATTATTTTTTAAGTGAAAGAGTGATGTGAGCTCCCTTCCCCACCCCCGTGTACTCTATATTGGAAAGATGTGTTTATAAAGTATCTTGAAATTGTTTCCTGATTAGATCCATAATGACAATCTGTTGTTTAATTATGGATGTTTGAGACCAAAAATGCTAATGGGAATGATGTATATAGTCAAAGATACAAATAATAAATACTACAAATATATGAATATTGTGCTAACTTATAAGCCATGATTTATAAAACCATGGTAGCTGAGGTTCACATATATTGCTAAGTCGAAATCAAATAAGCCATCATATAGTTTGGTACCATGTGTGAATCCAGCCATTGAGGACTACTTGCAAAAGCGCATTAATTACTATGAATTTATGCCAGTAAGCATGAAATATTTTACATTTCTTAAAGGTGTATTAGCATGCTGTAAATTCTAAGGCTCCTTGGAATATGTGAAAATATAGTTTTGAACAAGAATACCAGTACAAGTTAAAGTTAAAACATGAATTGTTCTGTTAACAATGTAGTTGTAATCTCAGGTGATATGATGGTGGTGGCTATATTCTTGAGTTATTATTCCATTTATAATGAATATGAGAAAGGAAAAAAAGTATTGGCAGTAATAATGTTTTATTTAGAGGAGAATCTGAATGCTTTTCCCCAGGACTTACAGAGGTAATCATGAAAAAAGAATAATGAAATAAGTACTCCTGAAATTGCTCAAGGTTTCATTATTTTTATATTCAGATTGCAATGTATAGAAATCCTGGGGGAGACATTGTTTTGCTAGTTTACCCATGAGCAGATTTTGTTAGTCTAGACTAGAATTTCATAATAGAGTTTCAGATAATCTAGATCTGTTCCACGTGCATTTAGCAACATAGCTGTAAACTTTTCTGTCTCTTTTCTCTTACTATAAAATCTGCAACTTTCTTTTCTCTGAATATCAACAATTAAAGACTGTGCAGGTGTTTGATTTTTTTAAATATTTATAAATCTTTCTGTCCCAATGGTTCCTTCTGGCTTTGTGCAGCTGTAAAAACATTCCTTTATCAAAACAATCAAATTAAGAACAGGGCAACTCATGTGGAAACATTTAGAGAGTAGAATACTACCTTAAACCCATCAAACACTAGTCTAAACAAAGCAGGATTTACAGCCTACCTAAAAGTAGGCAAACACAAACCAACTGTTTCCATTGGGAATTTTATAAAAGAATGGTTGACACAGACAGAGCATTGTATTGAGATATTTCTGCGTCTGGGCATAAATAAACATTAGATAAGAAGTTAGTTCCTACATTACAATTAGTGACTAGATCAATTGTTAAGAAGATAACAAGGCACTTTTCTTTATACTCATTCAAGGCAGTAGAACGTTTGCAAAACAGTTGCTTTTTTAAGAGGATTTTTAAAAGGTAAGTGATATTACCTCCTAGCTAGTGTGGAATTATAACCACTGTAGTTTAAAAGAATAGCCAAGTAACCTAGCTTCATTTGAAGATCTGTATCACTTAATGGATAACAGGAGTTCCTGATTGCCGACATTATTATATCTCTAGGTGAAGTGTACAGCTCTTGGAAAAATATTCAGGACACTACTCTTCCCAAGTATGTTTGCTTTTTTACCTGTCAAATGCCTCCTTTTAAAGCAGTGAGATATTTATATTTATATCCTCAAAATCTGAAGAACACTAATTTTAGAATGCTGCACTGCACTTCTCACAGCAGTTTTGGTGGACTGATACAAAAAAAAAAAAAAAAAAAAGCATTTGATCCCTGTGGACTAGGGGCCATTGAAACTACAGTTCACATCCTGCTATACTGCATTTTCTATAAGGACTTATAGACTCAATTGATTACACATCACCTAATAAAATAAATAGGAAATACTAATCTTTTATGTACAATGATTGTTATCAGATCAGTACGAAGTAGTTTCTCTGAATGTGGCCAGTCTATAATGTTGTATCCTAAATTAGGAAGACTCAAATTGTTCACTGATAATCCATGACCAATTGTAATTATTTTTATTTTTACTATTATATTGTTTTTATGACTTTTATTTGTAATGCTGATATGTGACCGTAAAATAAAAATTTATTGATAATTATCAAGCTAACCTGATTAAATTGGATGGGAATTTATTTCTATCTCAACATGGTGTTTGAAAAAGTTGATTAAAAACTTGGTATTGAAAAGTCTAGTATATGTTTATTTCAGAATGGTAGCCAAAAAGCCTCATACTGTGCTGTTCTGCTCTCTCTCTCACACACACACAGACACACACTTAACAGTGGTTTAGTGGGTTTGTTAATATTCCCCAGCAACTCCTTTCACCAAAAAACCCAGAACTGTCCCAATTAATTCCAACCACAAGCAGACCAATGCTAGTCCACAGAGCAATGGCAATGAGTCTACGAGGTACTTAACAATTTCCAAATAAAAATAAACCCACCAGGCAAAATTAAATCCACAATAACAGAGGGTTCACAAGGCAAGAAAGGTCCAACATTCACAAGGCACAATCCAAGTCAAGGCACAATGTCATTCCAAAGCATGGCAAGAATCATAATCATCAGAAACACAGAGCTATGAAATGAACACATTGTTCCCAGCATCACCTCTATCTGTCTGCTGTCTTAAAATAGCCAGCTTCTGGTGCAGCACATTAACAAGAGTGAGGCTTTCTTCTCACAAGTAATCTAGCTGACCTTCTCTGCTGTTGCCTTTTCTCTGCCCTATATGTTCTTGGTTCAAGTGCAAAAAGCAGTTCCTCTTCCTCATCATTGACTGGCTGTAGTTGTGTGCTTTTACCATCTGAAGGCTCAGGGCAGTCCTGTTGCAACTGTGCTTCAGCCAAATCTCTCTCAAATAGCTGCTTGGACCCATTGACTATCTCCCTTCCAGATGCGCCTGGAATTGGTTCAACCTCCTCGAGGTGACATTTTAGAGAGGTATCTAGGGAAACATCCTTAGGAGTCATCACACATGAGTTTGACAACAACCATATGGAAAACCAAATAGAATAAAATATTTTCTTATAATCTGTTAAAATAAATGCAATATTTCAGTGTATTCAACAATAGTTCCAATATTTTTGTTCTTCTGGTTTCAGGTTCAGCCAGAAAAGGCTCCTGTCTTACTTTGGCTCCAAGGTGGACCTGGAGGAACATCTATGTTTGGCCTCTTTGTTGAACATGGACCCTATGTTGTTCAGAAGAACCTCTCCTGCAAGTATTTGATATGATTCTAGTGTAATACATGGGAGTATAAGCATATATTTTTATTTCTGAATATTCATTTTTTACAATCAATCCCCCCACCCCATTCTGTTGTTAAGTAAAATGTATTTAACAGCAGAATATAGCTTTCCTATTCTGAACAAGTATAAGTAAGAAAGTGGATTCTTGCTGATGCAAAACTGGTACTTGTGTTTGAGTTGAAATATGGTTAAAACTCACTGTTACAAAACTTGGGTCTGTCTGTCAGTTTGATACTAATATCTTTTAAATTTTAAGCACAAATGACAGAGTGTCATGTTTCCTATTTATTTGCTAGATATTATTAGGTCTCTGTTTTTACTGGCAAGAAAGAGTCTCCCTGAGGTAAAATGTTATAAAATAAAAGAAAAATTATATTTAAAATCCTAGATGCATGGATTATGGTTGAAGATATTGCATACATACAGACTAATTGAAATTAAATGTTACTCTTGACATGTTACGCCATTCTGAAATAAAAATAATTTGAAAGTTAGTTAATTTACTAATATAGACTAAAATATATTAGTCATGAAAAGTGATTTAATATAGGTAACCCTTGACTTGTGGCCAGTCTTTATTTTGAAGTTACAACAAACCCCCCAAATGGGACATATAATCTGGTTTTAAAGTTCCAAAATCCAGGCCTCACCCTGTAGCCATATAACCACATTTTGAATGTTTGGCAAACAGGCCAGATTTATGGCCATTTGCAGGATTCTGCAGCCACATAACCGTGGCTGATGGCATTTTTATCAGAAATATGTGTTTCCTTCCAATTTCCAGCAAATCATACCCCAAAGTGAACAATTGGTTTGCTTTTACAACCACTGTGTTTGCTTAATGACTGCTACAGAAAAGGTTGCATAATCGAGTCTGGTCACATATAATCCATTTTACAATCCTCATGATTTACAATCAAAATTGCGGGCTCAATTATAATCATAACTTTATTTTATTTATTTATTAAACTTATATGCTGCCTATATTGCCTAGAGTTAGTTTACAATCATTCAGTAATGTCAAATATTAAAACCACAATAGAGATCTTAAAATTAAAACTAAATTAATTTAAAACAAAATTAACCAAGATGGGAAAGAAGGGAGCAAAGAGGAGTTGGGGTATTTTCTAATCCATTGTTCACTTCCAAAATGCAATACATGCATTGGTCCCCAGGCCAGTTACTTGAGGACTACCTGCAATGCATTTTCAATATATCCCTAATCACAAGGACAATATACAGTAGATAAATATATTAGAAATATTAACTTAGGCTAACATATAAAATGATTGATTATAAATTATTTTATGTTAGCATCATCGATAAAGCATTGGACAGGAATCTGGAGCCCAAATCGTATAATACAGTACTTGGGAATGTTATTATTACTTTTTATTTTTATTGGGGGGGGGGTTGACATATCTAAAATGTATTTTGATATGCTGAATTCACCTCAATATCCACAGTTTGGTACTTTGATGGTAGCTGAAATCTTATTTTGGTTTGCTTGCTTTAATAGTGACTGAACGAAAGTTTCCTTGGACCTCTAAATTCTCCATGCTGTATATTGACAATCCAGTAAGTTAAGAATGAATAATATTTTATTTAAAATGCAGACTTGAACATCAGTTCTTTATCGTATGAATAGCATCATGGTTGTTGTGGCCCTGCCCTCTGAGCCTGTCCCATCGGAGGAGGAAAGCTCCGAGCATGAGGAAGAGGAGTCAGCCAGGCCTCCCTCTCCAGGCCCCTCCCCTCTGGCATTGTCTCAAGTGCCGGCCGAGGGAGAGGAGACAGCTGATTCGGATCAGAGTGATGACGAAACATCATTCCTGGACGCACGCCTCTGAAGGCGTGATAAACGTTTGCAGCAGCTTAGGAGGCGTGTTAGGGATTAGAACTGAGTCACTGGACCATACCCCAGAGACTATATAATAGAGGATGGTGGTCAAGGATCCTTGTGACAAACAAAGCAAACCTTAGATAGTCACTAAAGCCTCGTCCGGAACTGCTGAGAGAAAGATTTAAAGTGTCGGACATTTGGACTCTTGAGTATTTATCTTTCTGTTTTACTTTGAAAATAAAGTCACTTGGCAGACAGTGTGTCTATCGCTGCCAAGTGGGAGATAAGACCTGGGTGCGTTCCAAAGTGTTTCCTTAACCCTTGACTGGCTGTGTTTGTGTGTGTGTGGGTACGGGACAGATCAATGGTATTGGTAGGCACCTCATATCTACAGTAGGCTTAGATAAGTGTTTATATCAGTAGTGCTGATTTACCACCAGTTTATCAGGTACTTAGGAGCAGAAGACTTGGCAGCAAAAGGAAATAACAGCCAATGACTTAATAGTCAGCAATCAACACTCCAATCAACAACTAAAAGTTTATTATTACTACATAAAAAAAGACTCACATAAGTTATGCCTGAAAAAAAGAGAAAGATGGGAATCCAAAATTTCTAATCTGAAAGCTTATATTTTTACTACTTCTACCACTATATACTACTATACTTTTATCCTTAAGTTTATTTGCTATTTCACAGTTCAAAGCAATTCTGAGTGGCCTACAATATAGTAAAAATATACAAATATCCAGACAATTTACTAATTTAGAAATTTGCCCATTGGTCTTCATGAAATTAATGAAATTGACTTCTGAATAGACATGAATATAGATTTAAGTGTAAAACAAGAGTAAAACAATTTATAGCTGTGGGAGAAACTGTATAGTTTATTAAATTTTAATTGATGTGGAAAATATCAGCAAAAAACTGAAATTCTTTGTTCTGGTTCTCTTTAACTATCAGGTTGGAACTGGCTTCAGTTTTACAGATGATCCAAAAGGATATGCAAAGAACGAGGTTGATGTAGGAAGAGATTTGTATAGGTAAGTTAAAGCTGAATTCCTCTTTTTTTTCATAAAAGTAAACACAAAAATAAGTCCTGCGCAACTTTTTGTAGAGATTTAGAACATTTACTAGAGCTAAGCAAAGCGTTTGCAGCAATCTTTGAAGTATTAAAGCAGCTGTCTTTTATACCGCTTCTTCACTGTTTCCAGATATCCATGTATCCCTGCTTGTCCATGTATGTATGTGTGCATCTGTTGGAGCAGCTGTGCAGGATTATCTCACTGTTAAATGCACACAAGACAGCCAAGGACAGATTTCAAAGCAGGCAATGCAATACTTCTATATGATATGGAAGTATTGCATGACTGCTTTTAATACTTCAAGGAGTGGTGTTTTGCTCATGCTAACACAGTTGTGAAGGATCTCTTTGAATGTTGCATATATTTAATATTTACAGCTAGTCCTGATTTATGACAAAAATGGGGACCTGAATGTCTATTCTTAAGCCTGGGTGATTGTTAATCATGTCCAATTTTTCATCATGACTGTAAAGTGAACCACTGCAGAAATTATGTGAACTGTGTAGTCATTAAGCAAATTTGGCTTCCTCCATTGACCAAAAAGTGAGCTCTAAGCTTATGCTACAGTTTCTCAGGGTGTGTATTAATTGACACTATATCTGGATTTTCAGTGCGATTGTTCAGTTTTTCCAGCTTTTTCCTGATTATCAGAAAAATGACTTCTATGCAACAGGAGAAGTAAGTTTGCTTAAAAATTTGTCAATTTGTGAGTGTAAATTTCTATTTTACATACAAAAATATTCTATAAAGGAATATGTTTGTATGTTAAATTTTTGTATGAATATGTTAAAGAAGAAATAAAGCTTCTATTAATTAATAGAATTTCTAATATAGTAACCAGCAAGAGTTCTAGACAGGTAATTTGGTCACTCAGCAAAATTTATTTCAAAATGAGATAACATTTGGAACAATATATTCGGTTCTAATTGTAAATGCGATATCATTATGTAATCATGCAAGCAGAATTGATAAAAGGTATATAATGAATTGTACTTGCAAAGCAAAATAATTAAACTCTCTTATTGAATGGCACTAATTTATCAGCTCTGATCTAAGTTACTTTATTATTGGAGCTCCATTGAAGCTTTCTAAGAGGATAGAAAGGAGGCTTTTTGAAAGGATAATCAATTTTCTTGCAAGAAAGGTAAATAGCACTTAGACTTATATACTGCTTCACAGTGCTTTACAGCCCTTTTACTGAACTTGGAAGGATGGAAGGCTGATTCAACATTGAGCTGGTGAGATTCGAACTGCCAAACTGCTGGCAGTCAACAGAATTAGCCTGCAATACTGCATTCTAACACTTGCGCTATCACAGCTCAGAACAAATAGAAGAAAGGCAGTGATTTTTCCAGTTACCCTTATTGTTAACATTCCGAGCTGTGGAGCATACTGTAAGCATACAGGAATTCAGATTTAAACTTTGTAAAATAATACAGATAGATCCATAAAACATCAGGCAAGGGATTTCTAAGTAGCCCTGTTTCTTGTTTTCTAAATCGGGTTGAAAACAAAGTTATTTTCTTTCTTTCTTTTTTCAGATTTTTCAGACATAGGTTGATTTTGACCTCTGAATTTAACCTGTAGCATTGAACATAAAGAATTTAAATTCGCTTTTGCAACTATGTTGTTTTACCAGATTTCTCCAGAGGTTCTTGCATTTGGTTATCTATTTATCAGAGAAATAGATTTCTTTTTTGTATTGTAAATAGCTCTACTAATATTTATCTTTTTAAGACAACTTTCCAGCATCTGAGATAACATTCGTAGCAACATATTGGGTGTAATAGCTCTAACAATGCTTTTGTTCAATTTGTTGTTGCTGGTAATCTCTAACACAAATAATGTTTTATAGTCAAGAGGTACTTTTTTTGCTGGGTATTTGTTTCTCTGACTATACAGATTTTGTCTTCGAAGGTTTTTTTTTAAATTAAGTTTTGCCAACTGGAACACTTAAAGAGGATGGACATGTAAATAATAAACTGAATTTTTTTGACACCCTTTGCTAACTAAAATTCTCTTGTTTTCATTTTTGAAATATTAAAAAGTTGCTTTAAATGATTACTAAGTAGTTCAATTATATACATGTTTTCTTTGAGTTACACTCGTTTTGCAGACTTGATACAGAATAGTGAAACAAAGTTCTAGTTTGGTTAATTGTTAAAATGCTGGGCTAGAAATTGGGAAACTATGAATTCTAGTCCTCTTTTAGGCATCAAAACTGCTGGATAATCTGGCTCAATCATTTGCTTTTGCCTAGATAGGGAAAATAGGAAGAGAGAGCATTCTGTATGCTTCTCTGAGTTGTACAAATAATGGCTTGGTGTGAATCTAATAAATAAACAGAATTTCCTTTTCTTTTTTTTATTTAAACAAATGTATAATTTTCTGTTGATACCGATTGACTAAGAAAGAAGACATAAAGGGATTTCTTAACACAGAACATCATCATTTTGTGTTTTTATTTCCAAAGAAACATGTGAACCCCTAAGATACTGTGGTAAGCAAATATAACAGTCTTATATACCTAATGTGATGCTGTTCAGATATTGCCTGGATATTGAAATTTGCCCACATCTGAAGCTCTTAATTAACTAAAGGTACCAGCCTATTACTTTAGATACAATATAAGAAATTCTAATCAAAGTTGGATAATGTATAAAAAATCCCTATATATTAATGATTCAACCATTGTATTATCTTTAGTCTTATGCAGGAAAATATGTGCCAGCCATTGGATATTATATTCATAGCAATAATCCTACAGCAAAGATAAAGATCAATTTCAAAGGTGTTGCCATTGGAGATGGTCTTTGTGACCCTGAAGTGGTATGATTTCTATATTTTTTATATTCTGAAATTGCAGACCCCAAAAGAACATAATCCTGATTGATATCCAATCGGTGAAAATGCTTTGAACCTTAAATATATGATTGGAAATTAGGTGCAACTCCAGCAAGATGGCTGCTTAAAAGCCATTGAAATTTTACTACAGTCAGTGAATAGTGTTAGCTTGCCCTAGCCTAATGTATAAAATTCAGCAAAAGTGTATTGATTTTGTTATGTACTTTTCAATCTTTTTAATGACTTTTTAAAATGAAAACAGTTGTGACTAATATTGTTCATTTTCTTGATCAGATGCTGGGAGGTTATGCAGAATTCTTATATCAAATTGGCTTGGTAGATGAGAAGCAGAGGATATATGTCCAGAATCAGACTAATCTGGGACAAAAATACATCCAGCAGAAGAAATGGAAAGAAGCCTTTGAAGTATGTCATAGAAACCCACATGACGGCCTTCAGCAATTAAAACCATCTGAGTAGACTGAGGGGTCAAAAGGAAATCAAATGGAGGTCACAAACTTGATTGCAGCAGCAGCAAAAAGAAAACTAAAAGGGAGAGAAGTCATTCTCCAATGTTCCTCTAAAGTTTACATTGGACTCCCTTCAAACTTGAGCACTTGAGTGTGTGTTTACACAGACATCTCTTGTGAATTGCTTTAATTTCTTAATGTTGATTTCTGAATGTCCTAAAGCTTTTTCTTACTTCCAGAAATCAGTAGAAAAGTAATATTGGAAGTTGTGAGGATGCTTGTACATATTTATCCTATATTTTCTATCCACAAATTAGTATTCTAATTTTTTTTCAGGCACTTGGAAAAAAAGTGGAGTTGTTACCATACACAATTAACTGACATGAGTCACTTTGCAGCATCTTGCATTCCGGCAAACTAATAAATCTTCCATATTTTACAAAATCGTCTTTTAAAAAAAGAGAACGGAAAACTTTGTTCATTTAAAAAAATGGTTACACTGATTTTTGCTGATATTATGCAAGCAAACTAGCTTAATCTCTGAAATATTAACTGCAGTAGCTGCTGTTTTACATAAGGAGAAGAAAAATGTTCATTGGTTCATACTGAGAGGCCCAGGTCATCTAGACCATATTTTTTTCCAAGGAATAAAATGACATTTCCTCAACTTATTTTGGAGACATTTGATTGGGATAATTTTCTTTTATCTCTTGAAATATGGTATTCAGTTGGATCTTGATGCAAGGAGGGATCTTTCTTTTAGTATTTGTTAGTACAAGTATATTTTACCAACTTGTATTTTCTAGTTGTGGGACCTGTAAAACAGTGAACAATTGACATATTCAACAATGAAAATGAACATTTTGAACTTACATGAATTTCTTCATCAGGTATTTGATACTCTGTTGAATGGTGATAAAACTGGAAGTTCTCCTTATATTCAGACTGTTACAGGATGTAGCAACTATTTCAATTTCTTGCAGTGTGAAGTAAGTACTTATGAGAAAAGGCAAATATATTGAAAATGTACAGTGTAATCAGACCCCCTTCATTTTTATCAATTTTGTTATACTGTAGCCTGTTTCTACAGTTGTTGAAAATCATTTTTTCTCATTAATCTAGTACCCCATAATGACAAAGTAAAAGCAGAATTTTAGAAATGTTTGTAAATTTATTAAAAAGAAAAACTGAAATATCAGATTGACATTAACTGTTCAGACCCTTTGCAACAACACTTGAAATTCAGCTCAGGTGCCTCCCATTTCTCTTGATCGTCGCTGATATACTTCTACACCTTGATTGGAATCCATCTATGGTAAATTAAACTGATCAGACATGATTTGGAAAGGCACACAGCTTTCTATAGAAGGTCTCACAGCTGCATATACGCATACTGTAGCAGACCAAAGCCATGAGGTCAAAGTAATTGCCTGCAGAACTCAGAGACAGGATTATTGCAAGGGCCAGATCTGGAAAAGACTACAAAATGTCTGCTATGCTGAAGGCTCCTAAGAGCACAGTGGCCTCCATAATTCTCAAATGGAAGAAGTTTGGCACAACCAGGACTCTTCCAAGAGCTGGTCAACTGATCAAACCGAGCAATCGTGGGAGAAGGGGCTTATTAAGAGACCAAGAACCTGATAGTCACTGATTGAGTTACAGAGATCCTGTGTGGAGATGAGACAGAGTTCCAGAAGGACAACCATTATTGCAGTCCTCCACTGATCTGTACTTTATGGTAAAAAAACACCTGAAGGACTCTTAGACAGAGGAACAAGATTCTCTGATCTGATGAAACCAAGACTGACCTATTTGGCCTCAATTCTAAATGTTATGTCTGGAGGTAACCAGGCACTGGTCATCACTTGCCCAATATCATCCCAACAGTGAAGCATGTTGGTTGCAGCATCATGCTGTGAGGTTATTTTTCAGCAGTAGGGACTGTGAGACTGTTCACAGTTGAGGGAAATCTGAATGGAGCAAAGTACAGGGATATCCTCAATGAAAGCCTGCTCCACAGCACTCAGGATCTCAGACTGGGCCAAAAGTTCACTTTCCAACATGACAATAATCCTAAACACATAGCCAAGACAGCACATGAGTGACTTAGAGACAACTCTATGAATGTTCTAGAGAAGCCCAGCCAGAGCCTTGATTTGAACCCTATTGAATATTTCTGGAGGGAGCTGAATATGGTTGCCTACCAACAGTCACCATCCAACCTGACTCACTTGAGAGGATTTGCAAGGAAGAATAGCAGAAATCCCCCAATCTGGGTGTGCAAAGCTTGTCGCATCATATCCAAAAAGACTCAAGGCTGTAATTGCTGCCAAGGGTGCTTCCACAAAGTCCTAAGTGAGGGGTCTGAATACTTAATGCCAATGTGATATTTCAGTTTTTTTCTTTTTAATAAATTTACAGACATTTCTAAAATTCTGTTTTCACTTTGTCATTATGGGCTACTGAGTGTAGATTAATGAAAAAAATGAACTACTGTAGAATCAGTATAAAATAAAATCAGTAGGGGTCTGAATACTTTTTGAATACTATAGATCAGTGATGGTTAACCTTTTTGACACCGAGTGCCAAAACTGGAGAGCACGTGCGTGCCGGAACACCAGAACCCAGAAGATAACTGGCCGGTACACATGTGCGTGGCGGTCAGCTGCATTTCCAGGTTCTGTCATGCACATACGCACCCACCAGCTGGTCTCCACATGAAGACCAACTGGCTGGCACACATTGGAACCCAGAAGAGACCATCTGGCCGCTACGCATGCATGCAACAGAACCCAGAAGAGCAACATGCCATAGGTTTGCCATCACGTAGATCATGTTTGATCTACAGACCCCAAAAGATGATAGTGGTATAATGACATTCTTCAAAAACCAACTACACCAGATGATAGAATGGATTTACTTTGTTCTGTCTTTGATGGCTTGCAGGAAAGATCCCTCCTTTTTCTTTTCCTTAAGGCCAGAATTGTAGTGCCAATAGAAGAGAATATTTCAGGGTTGAATTGTGGGGAACTTGATGCTCTTTAAGCTTAAGACCTCACAGTCAGTTATGTGTTTTACTAGGTCAAGAGGTCAATGAAAGCAATGTTACTGCTATAGTAACATAGGTATCTTTCTCTTCATCAGCATCCTAACTCATTCTGTCTGTTTTGCTCTGAAGAAATGCATTTTTTTTAAGGAGGAGATATTTTCTTCTTCTTCCAGACCTGTGGTCTAAAGCTATTGGCTAGGTTATCTACATAGATTTTTTTTTATATAATGTAAAGTTTTGTACAAGATACTGAGGGTATATTATTAACCCTGTTGCCAGCATGTTGGATGAGTTGGGCTGTTGAATGTAGTCCACAGACCTAACTTTTATTTAAAAGAGCAACTAGTGAAGTAATATTCATCAGAACTGATTTAGTGTATTTACATTAATCAGTGAAAAACAAATAACTTGCATTTTTATTACCAAATACCATATCTTTTTACAAACTTCTGGTTTTTTTCTTCTTATGAAGTTAATTGATCTGAACATACTAAATTATTTCATCATTTCAAACTTGAACATGAAACTGCAAGGTCAATTGTTTCAGTTCTCACAGACACAGTGTTAAGTACAGTTGCTGCTATAAGAAAGAAAGCAGAATAATTTAATATATAAGTTGTATGAATTTATTTTTTTGCTTTGATGAAATAATTTTGAATGTGTACTTCCTCTTTTATCATTTTAATAACAGGAGCCTGAAGATCAGGAATATTTTGGAAAGCTATTATCATTGCCAAACATAAGAAAATCTATCCATGTTGGAAATTTGACCTTCCATGATGGTTCTATCGTTGAGGAGCACTTGATTGAAGATGTAATGAAGACAATAAAACCTTGGTTGGCTGTTTTAATGGATCATTATAGAGTAAGTAAGATGCCAGCTTTCTTACTTGTCAGTTTTAGAATCTGAATATTTAACATTATTATAACTGATATTGTATTTTTATAGAAGACAAGCGTACTATTTTAAGTGTGGTGTGTATAAATAATTTGGAAGTTTTGCACAGATAGTCAATTTAGTTTTTAGCTAGGTGCATCCTTGTTTTATTGTTCTAAAGAGAAGCAAGATATTCATATAATTCTTTCTGCATTAATTTGCAGTCAGCAATATATTTTCCGCCCGTGGCTTAAAAGTTGGTTATGGCATGAAAGTTACCTTGCCAAGGATAAAGGGGGGGTGGGGATGAAATATTAAGTTAAAAAAATTAAAACATAAAATTTATTAATAGAATCTATTTACCACAGAGCTGCTGTTAATATATTGGAATTAGATTGGAGGAGTTATAGGTTTCAACCTTATTGGGCATAGAGATTACTGACTAAATTTGGATCAATCTTTCTCTCTAAGTCTCATCTATCTACTAAGACAGTGGTCTCCAATCTTGGCAACTTTAAGACTTGTGGACTTCAGCTCCCAGAAGCATTGCTGGCTAAGGAATTCTGGGAGTTGAAGTTGCCAAGATTGGAGACCCCTGTACTAAGACCATTTTTGAGAGAGATAAAATTAGGAGTGGGGGGGATCTCCAAATAATCATCTTGATTTGTCAGTTGAAATGTAAATGCAAAAATAAATATGCCCCACTTGTGCCCCTGCATTCTTCACAGACAGTTATTAAACAATGTAGATTGCATGGCATATAAGCTAGTAAAGCTGTGTCCACTCTTATAAGCATAATTATAATAATTAACATTATTGAATGTAACAAGTACATGAAGTTTTTATTAAGTTCATGGTAAATCAAGATTTTGAGAACTACCTCTTTCAGAAAAACAGTCAAATCTTTCTCAGCTTGATGAATCTTATAGAAAAAGATTCTTAAGCCTAGCATGTTTTAGTACCAAGGAATTAAAATACACATATGCTTTCTATGAAAATGACTAATATAAAGGATTCTTATCTTGCCTTAAGTGCTAGAGTTTGCTATTAAATCCCAATATACAGTATTTATATATTTATATACTATTAAAACCCTCATTGTGTTTATGAGTTTGTACCCTCAAGTTAGCCCAAATGGTACATTATACTGCAGGTTTTGAATTAAGGTAGATAAAATCTAACTTTAAAGAATAAAAAATCGAGAACCCATTACTCCCAAAAAATTGAACTTTCTATAATCTTCAGGCAAGTTTTACTTGGTGTGAGCTAGGGCTATTGCAGCATATCTGTGGTCATGTGATCACGATTTCCAATGCTCCTTCGCTTTCCACAAACAAAATCAATGGGAAAGATAGTAGGAAGTTGGAAGTCACTCCTGTTCCCATTATTTTTTGCCCATCCATGTTCATTCTATTTATCAGTTTTGGTAAATAAACATTGACTTGCTATTGAAATACATTTGCCACTACAATTATCTTTCTAGATATAATATACACTCTTTTTTAGATGATCATGGAACCATCTAGCATTTGGCTAAATTTTAATATTCCACAATCTAATTCCATATTAGATTGTGATAACTTTCTGTCAAAGAATGGGCCACAGAAGTATCTAATAAGATTTAAAGAGAAAGTTAAGTCATCTTTGTAGAATGAAGTATGTTCTGGTGTTAATAAAATCTCCTTTTTGAAATGATATACACTCTAATATCTTAATTTTGAATTGGGAATTCACAGTATTTTCCAATCAAGTGCTGCATTTGCACTTTGAGATGGCATGAAAAAAGCTGCACATGAAAAAAGATGAGCCAAAGTAATAATACAGTAATAAACCATATTTAAACTAATATTTTAATGAAATGAATATCATTAATGTTAGTCTCTGGATGTTGAATAATGTTCAATGGGACATCACCCAAGTATTTAAGGGATGTGCCCAGTGGTGAAATTCAGCTGGTTCTATCCGGATCGGGCGAACTGGTAGCGGCGGCTGTGGGAGGCCCCACAGGGATATCATGACCATTTTTTTGCGACATTTTAAGCCTCTGCACATGCGCAGACAACAGTGTGAGCAGAGTGAGCGAGCGTGCACTGGTATTGGTGAAAAGGTAGGGAAGGTAAATGAATTTCACCACTGGATGTGCCTATGATTCTGAATCTTTAGGCCAAACCTGGTTTCCTAGGAATGAAAATAGAAAAAGAAAATAGAAATAGCTAAAAGAAATTACACACTATAAAATAGAATTTAAACCTGAACTGTTTCTTCTGCGGATTATTAAAGAAAATTATCCTAAAAGGATAAAGTATTTAATTATTCATATAACTACAGCAGCTAGAATTGTATTTGCGCAAGCTTGGAAAATGTCCACTATTCCAACAGACCGTACAATAATCTGGAAAAATTTTGAATGTGCAGAAATGGACAAACTTACTTTAGAATTAAATAATAAGGAAGACTTGGAATATTACTTAACGGGATAATTGGTATCAATGGATAGAAATTAAAAATAAGGAATGTATAGAACAAAATAAGATATAAAATGTGATTAAATATATCGATTAAGTAGGAATATGTGGGAATAGATGAAGAAAGTTAAGAATTAAGTACTGTCAGAAAGACGTTGAATTATTACGGATGTATTTTTGTTATAGAGGTATTTTAACTTGTATTTTTGGATTTTAAGTGTTAATAAAGGTTTTTCAAATTAAAAAAAGAGAAAGAAATATAGATAGATGGATAGATGGACGGACGGACGGACGGCAGGCAGGCAAGCAGCAGGCAGGCAGGCAGACAGACAGACAGACAGAGAATAGATAAAGAGATAGAGAGATAGATAATGGATAGATAGATTAAAAAAAATAGAAAAAGTCAAGATGGCAGATGTAACCATGTGACTGAAACCTTATCTCTTTTTTTATATGTTTAAAAAAAAGTGGGAATGACAGGGTTTCAGTCACAACTGCCATCTTGAGATTTTTATTCTTCCTCTGCATATGTTCCTGAACTGAGCACATCTGTTGTCAATCTTCCTTTCCATTTAGATAGCAAAGCCTAATGTTCTTAATATTCTGCTGCTGCTGCTTATTTCTGTATAAACTGTATAAACTACAGTGAATAGATTTCAGCTGTGATACTCTCTCTCTCTCCCTCTCTCTCTCTCTCTCTCTCTCTCTCTCTCTCTCTCTCTCTCTCTCTTGGCGACGTTTCGACGAAGTCTCATTCGTCATCTTCAGGCTGGTGTTCTCGGCTTCGTGCTTCCAGGAGCAAGCACGAAGCCGAGAACACCAGCCTGAAGATGACGAATGAGACTTCGTCGAAACGTCGCCAAGACACTTCCAATTTTACGTGGGAGAAGACCCGAATAACCAAAGACCTACATACAAACACCCCACGAAAACCTGAGAAAACAAATATATATATATATATTATATATATATAATATATATATATATATAGAGAGAGAGAGAGAGGAGAGAGAGAGAGAGAGAGAGAGAGAGAGAGAGAGAGAGATATTTATAAACACATACACATAATTTTATTAAAGATTTTTTAAGAAGGAAGAAACTAATACTAATACAAAATAAGAAAAAGAAAGAAAGCTAAAAGTGCAAGAAAGTGGGAACAAGTAAAAGAAAAAAAAGGAAAAAGATACATTATTTACAGCAATTATAGGTATAATTATAACTTTCCCTCTTACTATATGGTGCAGCTTAATTTTCTATAATATATTCTATCTAATAATCTAAACCATAAATCATAAGTTCATAAGTTTTTATTCTGTTTTATGCAAAAAGTCCATAAGGATTTCAAGTCAGCAATAAATGTAGATATTGTGCTTTCTCTGACTAAAAACTCAATTTTGTTATCTCAGCAAGTTCCACCATCTTCCACAACCCTTCCTTCATTGTCGTTACTGTAGAATGTTTCCATCTTTGTGCATACCTTAATCTTGCTGTCCTGGAAAGATACTTTCTGATCGTATAATAGTGATGGTGACATTTTTTTGTCTTTCTGTTCTACCCTCCATCTCTACCTAAAAAATAAAGCTAAAAGTTTTAAAAATTCCATTTATGTGTTTTAAATATCTTGCCAAAGATTCAAGTAACCATCTCTGTATTTTAAAATTTTGCTTAATCCCTTGTAGCCAAGCTAACAATTAGACTTTTAGATCCTTATTCATTTCCTGAATGATATTTTGTCATTTTTAAAGTAATTAAGGCTGTTCATCCCACCTCTGTAAATATAATAATCATATGGATAATAATCTCTATGGATAAACATTTAAAAATAGTAGTATCTAGAATTAATAAGGTGACAAGGGCTTGAAATGCATATTATGGATGGAAGAATGTGAAGATGCTGCTAAAACCCAGTTAGGGTTTTAGGTTTTTCTCTACCTGATTCCTGCAAAGTGGGGCCTGTACAGTATGTAGAGTAACTTGTCAGTGTTTTGTCAAACTTAGGATCAGAAATTGTGCATCTCAGAAACCACTGTATTATGTTGACTTCTGTTTTTTTGTTTGTGTCTCTGATCCCTCTGTGCTAAAGATGACAATTTTTTTTCCAGGCTAAGATTTCATTCTGCAACACTTTTTACTACTTTGCTATCAAATTTATGATTGATGTAATATTTATCAGTTATTGACCATCTAAATATTCTTTTTCACTATACAAATGATTAAAAATACACCAAAATAAAAATAAAATAAAAACATAACAGTATAAAATCAAGACTAGCAACAATAATAATAATTAAAATAATGAGTAGGGTTGATAAAAATCAATAAAAGAAGCAGTGAAAGTACTTTTTTGAGCTTCATTTGTTTTTATACTTATATTTGACTTCCAGGTTCTCTTATACAATGGGCAACTTGATATCATTGTGGCAGCTCCACTTACTGAACGATTTCTCCCCACTGTGCCATGGGGCAAAGTGAAAGAATACAAAAATGCTGAGAGAATTGTATGGCGAATACATGATAAAGATCCCGAGGTTGCTGGCTATGTACGCCAAGTGGGTGAATTCTATCAGGTGAGATGAACCATTTCCTAAGAAAAACAAAACATACATTAAATATGTATCTATGGTAGCAAAAGATCAGGACTCTGGTAACACTTCTTTAAACTAACACATTTTATTAGAAGACATAAGGATTTTTTATTGTAAAAAGAAAAAGAAGAAAAGAAAAAGAAAGGTAGGTAGGTAGGAAGGAAGGAAGGAAGGAAGGAAGGAAGGAAGGAAGGAAGGAAGGAAGGATAAATCCATTAGAATATGCACAGCTCAGGGTTGAACTATAGAGTCCTTGGTATTCTGTGACTGGTTGTTTTCTTGAAGATGTTTCATTACTCAGCTAGTTAACAACATCAGTCCTAATGAGTGGGGAGTTCTATGTTTATATAAAAATACATGTGGGAGCAGGGGTGAAATGCTCCCGGTTCGGACTTATCACCTGATCCGGTAGCGATGGTGGTGGGCGGTTCGGAGAACCGGCAGCAAAAATCTCTGCCCCCCCCCATGCCCAGCTGAGCCACAAGATCATCAGAGACTTTTTTTTTAACTTTTAAAAGCATTTTTTCTACAACTTCTTCAGTTGAAGAGCAATGCTTTTAAAAGTAAAAAAAAAAAAGATTGTGCGCCACAGCTGATCACCCCACCCCACCCTTCCGCATGCTGTTCTACTTACCACATACCTCCTTTTGGCCTCGCATTTGGCGTGTGGTGCGCACTGCGCATGCTCAGCCAGCGAACCGGTAGTAAACAGGTTCAGATTTCACCACTGATGTCAAGAATAAAAATATCAAAATATCAGAAGAAAATAAGAAAAAGAAAATAGAACTTCTTCTATAATCAGTGTATGATCAGCATATGACCTCAGTAGGTGATCCTGAAGATAATTTACTTCTTGGTTATTTATCCTATCATAAGAATACCAGCAAGTTATTCTAGTCCCAGGAATTTATCAAAAATGAAATGAAGAAAAGATTCTTATTTAGCGACCTCAAGTGGAACTTGGTGGCGCAGCTGACTAAGTGCTGTTAAAGTAGCACCAGCTGCCTGCAATTACTGCAAGTTCAAATCTCACCAGGCTCACCAAGCTCAAGGTTGACTCAGCCTTCCATCCTTTCAAGGTAAGTAAAATGAGGACCCGGATTGTGGGGGCAATAAGCTGACTTTGTATAAAAAAGAACACCGCTTGGGGGGGAGGGGCGAAAGCCCTACTAAGCAGATATATACAAAAGTATGAAGGCTATTGTTTAACGCACTGTAAGATGCCCTGAGTCTCCGGAGAAGGGCGGCATATAAATCGAACCAATAAATAAATAAATAAACTGGGAACTTGGTCATTAAGTAAAGCAATCACTAAGTAAATCACTGCAATTTTGCTTATGCTCTTACTTCAGCTTTCCTTTCCTTTGCAAACCTGCAAAGATTGTAAATGCATGAATTGTTTGCAAAGTTATTTTTCATTATTGTCATAACTGAATGGTTACTAAACGAGGACTACTTGTAATGCGTGCCAAAGTGAAATATTGTGCCACTTCTTTCATTGTATGTGATTGAGTCTAATTTAATTTTAGATGAAAGCATTTCCTCCCACTCTCTGGACTATGCATTTATTAACATTACAAGCACTAATCAAAAATTTTAAAGATAGATCGTTTATTTTTATTTATTTGTATGTTTTATTATTTTTACAAACAACTCAAAGTGGCATATCCAAACATATCTGATACATGTTTGTCCTCACAAAAACTCTGTGAAATGGGTTGGACTGAGAAAAAGTGACTGGCCCAAGATCCCCCAGCTGGTTTTCATGGCTAAAGCAGAACTCACGGTCTCTTGCTTTCTAGCCTGGTTCCTTGAACACTAGACCAAGGGTGTCAAACTCAATTTCATTGAGGGCTGCATCAAGGTTATGTTTGACCTTGAGGGGGCCGGGGTGGATGTTCCAAAGGCGTCAGTCATGTTGGGAGGTGTCTGTGATTGCCTGAGTGCCCTGTCAGCAAAAACGGGCTCGCAAGCTCCATTTTCAGCTGCGACAGGCTCCTGCAACTCTCTGCCAGCCAAAACAGATCTCAGGAGGGCTGTGCAAGGCCCTCGTGAGCTCCGTTTTTGGCTGCAACAGGCTCCTGCAACCCTCTGCCAGCGAAAATGCAGTTTGGGAGAGCTGCATGAGACATGGTGGGCCAGTCCGCTGTTTCCAAGGTGGCCACGCAGGCCAGATCTAAGCATCACGCAGGCCAGATCCGGCATGCGGGCTTTCAGTTTGACACTCCTGCATTAGACCAAACTGACTTTCACATATGCACTCTTCTCTGTCCCAAACTGGTTAATGAATTTATTTTATCAAATTTTCCTTCTATTCTTATTCCCTTAGGGTGGACAATTGATCAGAATTACTACTCTTAACCAGTGGTGTAATTTAACAACTGGCTCTCTGCCCTAATGATTTCTTCCAACAACCAGTTTGCCAAATTGCTCAGAAAGTTAACAACCGGTTCTCCTGAAGTGGTGCGAACTGGCTAAATCTCATCACTGCTCTTAACTCTGGATAAAAATGTGATATGCCTATGAGGCTTGTTTGCTTTCTCTCTTCATGAAAAGCTACAAACAGGCTATTATCCTGCATTGGCTTCTCACAAACAATTACGTTCTCAATCAGCAATACAAATTCTTACAAACATATTTTGCTGTTTTGGGATTCCTCAGACACTTAAGTATGGCTAATGCAGTCGTAATATCAAAACAAATACAAAAGATTCTAATTTGTATTTTTTAAATACAAATTTGTATTTGAAATAAGACATAAAATATTTCTTTGCTGTTTCATAAGGAAACATTTACTATTAATTTATACTAAGAACCTTAAGCTTTGAAAAAATTTCCTGCCACATGACCTTAATATAAAAAATGTGCTAGGTTACATTGGTTCTAAAGAAAGTAAATAAGGATGTATTCAATTTCAGTACAATGAAATAGTTTATTGAATTAGCCAAAGTGAATGCATTAAAAGCAGTCAAAACTCTACTTAAAATCAAATTTATTTAATATTATAAAAAGGTCACAAAATAGAAGTTAATGTTGGCCTGAGGTTGGTAGTTAATAAAACACACCTATGATAACAGCAACTAAAAAGCATATAAAAAGCCTCTCCATACCAAAGTTACTTCCCTTTGGATTAAAATGCTATTTTCATTTAATATTCCACTATTTAATTTTTTTTAAAAAAATAATTGCTTTATTGTTCATTATAATTTTGCATAGTGTCTATGCTGGGTCACATATATTCTTCTGTGCATTTGGAAGAAGGAATAATCCATGATTCCATTCTGCTTCAGACAATTAGTAACTAAATCATGGTTTCAAATAAATTACCTTCTTAAGCAAGCCAAATGAACAATCCAAATCTGATTGGAGTTTGCTTTAAAACTATAATTCCTGATTCATTCATAAAAATGTAGTCATAAATTTAGTAATGTAAAAGTGCCTGACTGTTCAATATATTTTCTCTTTCCTTGTGTGTCTCTTACCTTTTCCTTTGTTCCTCCAGTTGTCAAGTCCAGAAATCTCATAATATTTTTCTGTTTGTATATGAACTCTCAAAAACTTTCAGGTCCTTGCCACACACATTGCTGTTTCATTTAATAATTTCACAGGATGATGATGATGTGTGTGTATGTGACAGAGAGAGATGAGAGAGAGAGAATAAATATGGTATATATGCTCATACAATCTTTTAATTCAAATGTATGGGGAACGACGACTATTGTTTCTTTCCAGCGAAGCCTGGAAAGGAGTTTGCTTAGAGGTGTCATATGATATGCCTTAGGAGTAGATAATTTCCTTTTATCCAAATCAGTCTATAAACTAAGTAGGGTTATATTCAGGATATAGGGATATATGACAAAAAGATGCAAGCACTTAAAATACTGGCATCCAAAGACCTTTGTTTTCTTGAAGCTGAATGATCAGAAAGCACCTTGAAATGTTACAGCTGTTGTCTTCTTTTTCTTCAAACACCAGAGTCAGAGAGGATCTGGGTAAATGTAAGCAAAGTTCTCTGAGTTCTACTGTTACTTTCTGCTTGTACATAAATACCATTTGAAATTGAAACTTTCAACTTTCAACTTGAAACTTGTTAGTTTTTTCTTTTTCTACTCTTTCTCCAATACTAGGCAGGAAAAAAAAAATCTGACCAGCCCCCCCCCCCCCCCCAAGAAGTATATGCATATCTGTGGAACTTTAGCTTTTGCAGTTCCATCAAAGCCTGAATGATATTGCTGGCATTTGTAAGATGTTTAGCATTATCTCCTCATAGTTGTCCATGGATAGCAGAATACAAGGGCAGTCTTGAAGGATTAGAGTAGAAGTCAAAGCCCCTTAGATATTGGGTTACTGTTATCATGCTCTTCATTACACTAGACATACCCAGTTCCTGCTACCATTCTTCATGTTTTAGCCTTCAGTCCCTTTGTTGCTCTTCTCTAAAATCTCAACGTTTTTTTTGTGTTATGGTGACCAAAACTGAATGCAATATTCCAGGTGTGGACTTACCAAGCAATTATAAAGCGGTATTAACACTTCACATGATCTTGATTCTATCCTCTATTAATGTAGACTAGGACTGCATTGGCTTATTTTGGTGGCTGCAGCATAGTGCTGGCACATACGTAAGTGATCCTAATGCCTCTTAGTTACTAGTATTGAGTCAGGTACCACCTATTCTACACCTGTGCATTTGGTTTTTCATGCCCAAGTATAAAACTTCATTTCTCTCCTTGTTGAATTTTATTTTGTTGTTTAGAGTCCAGTGTAGTGTCAAGATCCTTCTGAATCTTAAATCTATCTTCTAAAGTGTTGACTATTCCGACCAGGTTGCAGTTGTTGGCAAATTTGAATTTATTCCCTCATCTAAATCAATTATGAAGATGTTGAAGAGTCCTGAGCACAGTATAGAATCTTAGGGTACTCCACTGCATACTTGCTTCATTAAGGGCTACACGTTGAATGTGGTTGATCAGCCAGTTACAAATTCATCTGATGATGATGCTGTCTATCCCACATTTTAGCTTACCAAGAAATAGGTTGTGATCCATTTCATCAAATGACTTACAGAAGCTCAAGAAAATTATGTACACAGCATTTCTCTCGTCCACTAATTTAGTTACATTGTTAAGGAATGAAATAAGATTTGTTGGGCATGATTTGTTATTGACAAACTCATGTTAGCTTCTGTTGATCACTTTGCTTGTCTTTAGTGTTTGCAGATTTTTTGCTTGATTATCTTTTGATGGTCTTATTTCCCCCCTCCATGTACCGGTATAAGGCGGGGGGGGGGGGGCGGGATGAGCGGCCCCTTGCGCCAGCTTTCTGAAGGGTCCCAGCAGGCCATTCCACCATCCACGAAACAGCTTCTTCGCTGCTGCTCAGACAATTTTTGCAGCTGCATTTTGCAGCTACAAAAACAGCAGGAGCCCAAGCGATGTGCCCTTCGTGCTCTCCTTGCCTAACGGTGTGATGGTGGCAACAGACCATCCCACTATCCATGAAACAGCTGGTTTGCGGGTGCTGCTCAGGCTGCTTTTGCAGCTGCATTTTGCAGCCACAAAAGCGGCAGGAGGCCAAGCAACGTGCCCCTCGCGCCCTCCTTACCTAACAGCGTGATGGTCGCAGCAGGCCATTCCACATGCCAAAACCCAACCAGCACCACACCCAGGGCAATCACAATTGCAAACCCTAAACCCACAGACAGGGAAACTACAATGCTCAAGTATGGTACAACAATCAATTTATTCAAATTCAACAATTTATTCAAATACAGTCATGTCATCTTCTTCTGGAACATTGTCAAAACTCTCCACACTTTGAATTCCAGTCTGAGTTTCTTATGACTCAATTTCGTTTAAAACCATTGGTCCCAATCACTGATGTCTAGTAATAGAGGTCTCCTTAAAAGAATGCTTCCTGTCCATGTAGCCTGCTCGTATTGCATTGGCAACACAGGTGTCACTGAATTTGTCCCATGCATTCTTGACCCAAGTCACAAGCTCTGGTAGACTAGGCTTCACGAAGTTTTCATGCTGGTTTCTTGCCATTCTATTCTCAATGCACTCATTGATTTTGATGTGCAGATGGTTCTTGAATGGCTTGTTTATGCGATGTCCAGTGTCTGAAAGTATGCTGTCATTCCTGCAGGAATCATTATTTGGTCAATTCTTGTCTGTGCAAGAAACTTTTTCATGTCTTTGGCAGGGTGAGTGCTGGCTGAATCCCAGACTACTATACCTCTTTGGCCACCTTGCACAACAAGTGGCAGCATTAACTCAACCCACTTCCTTATAGCTCCTTGTGAGCACCAGGCCTTTTCAGTTTCAAGAACATAAATCCCTGAAACACGTTCAATCTTTTCTTTCTTGCCCTTGGTGATGATTAGAGGTGGGGCTTTGCTTCCATCCAGGTGAATTGCCAAAATGCAGGTAACACATGCACTTTCACATCCAGTGGAGGGAATGTAAATTGATGTGGCACCCCTCTGATCAATTGTTGTGTGAGCTCTTTGGTCCATAAACACTAGTTTCATCCATGGCAATCATGTTGGACAGTAGTATTTGGAAAAGTCAGTGCCATCAACGAAGGACTTGAATACAAGTGCACGTTTGACAAGTTCAGCATCTTCCAGCTTGAACAACAAGGTGGATCTCCTTAGAGACAGTTCAAGCCATCCAGCCAGTGTTGAGAGGCTTTGAATTCTTCCTGGGGAATTTGTAATTGTAGTTCCATTGCAAGGGAAAATGCTTGAATATCAGCCCTGTGTACAACCAAAGTCTTTGCTCTCCTGTCAGTGATCCATTCAGAGATGCTGCCTTCAAGAGCCTTGGTAGCACAGTGGTCTAAAGCACCCTGTTATTAACACAGCTGCCTGCAATTACTGCAGGTTCGAATCTCACCAGGCTCAAGGTTGACTCAGCCTTCCATCCTTTCTAAGGTAGGTTAAATGAGGACCCAGTTTGTGGGGGCAATAAGCTGACTTTGTATGAATATACAAAAGTATGAAGGCTATTGCTTAACGCATTGTAAGCCGCCCTGAGTCTCCGGAGAAGGGCGGCATATAAATCAAATTAAAAAAAAAAAAAAAAAGTTCAGGAAAAATGGTTGCCAACCTGATCCACACCTGCGCTTCTTAGCATTTCCCTCATGCACCTGTTGGCTGAGATTATTGTACTCTCCATTTTCAGACCATACAGAAATCCAGCATCTTCTCTTTACAGAAAGCTGTCAGATTCTTGCCCTGAGAATCCTCCACGATTCCTTTCACAGAGTAGCTCTTTCTTTTTGAACTCATCTTGTCTGGGGATCAAAATAAAAGTCATTTTAGATCATTAAATCCATTAATCCAAAACCGTGGGTGTGCTGGTGGTTGGGATTTGGCGTTGTGGTTGCCCTGGGTGTGTGTGTGTGTTGGGATTTGCAGTTTTTGCAATGAAGGAAAAAAATGAGTTTTGCCTCATTTTATAACCTTTCCTGCCAGTTGTCAAGGGAATCACTGCAGATGTTAAGTCAATCTGGATTTCCCCATTGACTTTGCCTGACAGAAGATCGCAAAAGGGGATCACAAGACCCCAGGTTATAACTGTCATAAATATGACATAGGTAAAGGCGCATGAGGCATGTTCCTCCCGTCTTCTCCCCACTTTGGCCTGGCCTCCTCATCTTGTGTTGTCTGCAAGCAATGAGGAGGCCAAGTGATGTGTGGGGTGCATCGCTTGACCTTCTGCTGCTTTTGCGGCTACAAAAGCGGCTATGTTTGCGGGCGGTCGTGGCCTGAGCAGCACCCACGAAGCAGCTCTTTCGTGGACAGCGGGACACTGCTGCAACCATCACACTGTTAGGTAAGGACGACGCGAAGCGCGTCACTGGGCCTACCACTCTTTTTGCGGCCGCCATTAACAGAAGAAACGGTGCAGTGTCTAAGGTTGTGGCAGCAGCCGCTGCGAGCCTGTTCCACGTGGATGGCAGGTGTGAATGTTAAGTATGGGCATGTGAGGCGCGTGCGGCATGTTCCTCCCCCCCCCCGGCCTTGCGTCCTTATGTCGTGTTGTCTGCACGGCAAGCAACCAGAAGAAATGGCGGGGACCAGCTGCGCAGGTGCTTAAATAGGGCTTATTTTGGGGATAGGGCTTATTTTAGTGGATGTGCTCAAAAACATGATAGAGCCTACTGTCGGGGGAGGTCTTATTTTCGGGGACACACGGTTATATATCCTTGAGCAGTTTTCTACCCATTCCTTTGTTTTCCTAATTGTTTTTTATATATAATTCCATAGGTCATTGTTCGAGGAGGAGGACACATCTTGCCTTATGACCAACCAGAAAGGGCTCTGGATATGATGGATAGATTTATCATGGGAAAAGAATGGAAACAAAGCAGATATGGAAAATAAAACCTGACTATTGAAATCCTTTGGAAAGTTCTCAAGAGATTGCATTGACAGTATTGATCAGAGGAACTGATGAAGTATTATTGGAGCTTTTTTCCCATTTTTGGAAAAACTATTTTAATCCGTAATTAAGCTATTCGTCTAATTTGAATATTTTGTTCTCAAAATAAACATCACACATCTCTGTCTCTATTTCATTCTGTTTCTCCAGATATTCTTGTCCTGAATAACAAAACCCAAAGTAGATAATTCTTACAGCCATTTCCTACCTTTTTGTTTTGTGAAATGATGGGCATTTTATGAGCAGCATCCATGGAAGACATCAAAATGATGGGTCAAAATGATGCAAATTGTGTACTGTAATTTTTTTTTATTATCTTCATGTGAACCTTAGTTGAGGGAATGACAATTTTTTTTCTATTCTGCCTTGGGGGCATATAACAGAACCTTTACAATTGATTTCCAGCACAACCTGTGCTCCTATAAGAAACACTGCATTCACACTGGGATTGTTAAAGAATTATTTTATTCAAACAATTGATGCTAATGTAACGTTAAAAGCCTATAAACACTTAATATAATTTTTAATTCAATTTTTATGAAGATGGGTCAATAGAGCAAAAAAACTTTTTTAAAAGCATTTATTAGCAGTTGAACAGCCCAAACTCAATGGATTTTTCTTCCAATTAAGGAAATTGCTAGAATTGCTAAAATTTATGTAAACTTCTTGGGAAGTATTTCTTACTGAACTGTAGAAGGCATACTTCTACATAAACAAGAAATGTGTTGTACATGTTCCACCTGACCTAAATGAAATACATTATTTTGAATTCATGGAAGGAAGGTTGACTATAAATCATGCAATAAAAGAAAGGTAGTAACTATGTGATCATATATCTACCTTTGTGTTTGTTTACATATCTTTCAGCAAAGTAATTTGCAATTTATTTTTTCCATTTAAAATTTGAATGTTACAATAAAGGTGGACAATTTTAGTAGGGTATATCCTTGATTGAATTGGACACGTATAGTCTTTACACCAATCACTAATTTTCCTTTCAGATTTAACAAAATCAGGAGACAAGCCCTCATAATCCTGACTTTTTCTACATGAACCTTTTTTTTTCTTAATAGAATCCTTTGGAGGGGAAAGAGAAAAAAAAGATAAAAGGATTGATACAAAAGAACAGACGAGGAAGAGGATCTAAAATTCTGTGAAGGAGGCAGGCCAGTTTCAATTACATTATAAAACTTGTCTGGAATCTTGTTATTTAAGAAAATTCTGCATATCTTAAATAATTCATGTTTTGGCTTTCTGTTTTGATTTTGGTGGCTACATCTTTTCCCTCTTATCAATCTTACTAATACTTGCACTCTGTAACTGAAGTTACAGCAGGTATGGGGACAGAGTCATCTGTTTCTCTAAATTCAGATCTTAAGTAGCTTCTGGTTCATTGTAAATAATAAACAAATGTAAAGAATAGTTGAGTTTTCTGGCATACCATTATTTTTAATGTATTTCACATTCTGACATGATCGGCACAATCAGATATCTTGCTGAAGTAAAGTAACTAGTAATTAAAGCAAAAGGAAACCACTTCCTGAAATAGTCATGCTTTCTTAATTGTTTTTCATATGTTAGATACTGAGCGTTATGGGGTTCCCCATTTCTAAAACTGTACATTTGGCATTTCTAGGTCCATGCATAGTTCTTTTCCCTTTGTAAGAGCATAAGCAAAACTTGACATGCATGAAGAATTTGTGGAATGGTTTGATAATTTACAGACTGAACCACTGAACTCTTCCCCACCAATCAAAGGCATCTAGTATGTGTGTGTTTGTCAAGGCAGTGCAAATGATGAAAAGTCATTGTGACACAAGCTCTGCCCCTTTTGCATATGTCATGATGTCCTGAACGTTGTATCTTCAGCATTATTTGTGGTTTATTTTATTCATTTATTCTTTGCATTTCTGAACTGCATATCAAAACGTTGAACCTTCAGCATTATTTGTGGTTTATTTTATTCATTTGTTCTTTGCATTTCTGAACTGCATATCTCCTTCAAAGAAGATCCATATTAGGGCATCCTCAGGATGGCAAAAAATTGGTACAAAAGTTCCTTTTTTATATGGCTTCTGTGCAAGATGTCCATGTAAAAGGGACAGAGCATTCTTTGCATAGGTGTGACTGCCATCAACTTTTTTGATATCAGGTTCCAACTTAAACACCTTAATATATTTCACTTTTCTATGCAACATTTTTTCTTACATTGTCTCTTAATTGTAAGAGACAAAATAAAAAAAAGCATATACTTCCTTCAGAGTAGAAATATGAGTGTTGGAAAGATTCAGCCATATCACATTTCATAAAGGATCCTAAAAATCCATATATAACTTGGGCCATACTTCACCTCTTCTGTGTGAATATTACCTATTTCCATAAATCTGTTAGGAAAAACAACAGGGTGGTGGACGTTCTTAGTATTTATGTATGAGTAAAACAGGATGTAGAGTTGGAAATGAAACTACTCTTGTAAAATTTCTTTTATATAATTTGTTTAAAAATAATTATTTGGATTCTTTCCAAAAGATGAATGTTAAGGTTTTATGTAGCCAGAAGTGGATACATTAAAAAACGTTTATTTTTAATCTTCCTATGAAATTTCAATGCATTTGGTATATTTGTGGTTTCTTTTTCATTGCTTTCAGTCATAATTCATAGTATATCCGCTTCTTTAATGTCTTTATACAGCTTTTCACTTGATTAACCTGAAAATAGTTTCTAATTAATAAGAAAAGTTGAGGGGTTCTTGGTGCTCTCTGAGCTTGTTTGTTTTCTTGCAGATGTTTCATTACTGTAATGAAACGTGTGTAAGAAAACAGGCAAGCTCAGAGAGCATCAAGACACCCATGTCAATTCTGTGCTATAAATATTCTCCTTTAAAATAACAAAAAATAGATAATATACAATTCTTTAAAAATGGTTGATATGTAAAATTAAGGAAAATTTATACTACTGGTAAGCCCCATCAGTGAAACAGAATTTAATATTACATTTCTTGGAGACAAATGAAATGTTTGTAATTCCAGTACAAGAACGAGATACATGGTAAGTCCTGGTCTGATAATTTATCAACAGAACAACCAACTGCATTTAGTTGCAACAGGAATTGTTAGTATGACCCAAGAGGGAAATTATTGGATATGTGGGAAATAATTATGTAAATTACTTTTAGTTTGCTTTGATTTTTTTATATTCTCCCCGCCTCCCATAATCTGAAGAAGGATTTTCCCCTCACTGATATATTGTAAATATTTCTCCTTTGTTATACCTGCCCATTTTTAATATTGTCACAAGAAGTCCAATAGCACTTTTCCCCACTATATCTACTTATCAGGGAAAACAGGTGGGCATGGAATGTTGCAAGTATGCCAGGTAGTTGAAGGGGGAAAAAATGGCATTGGAAGGATATCTGAAGGACAATGAAGAAGATGCACTGAAGATACCATACCAGGAAGGTTTACTGAGCCTGCAAGAAATATCAAATAAAGAATCGAAAACAGAAATGGCAAGTCAAAGTATTTCATGGCCAGGACATTAAAAAAAACAAGCATAGTAAATAACAAGAAGATTTGGTAATAGTTAAAAGCAAGAAAGATGAAAAAAGAGAGACCCAAGTCTGCCTGCACAATACCAACCCTTAAGAAATACTGTGTCTGCAAAGAAACTGAAAAAATAGTAGACTGCCTAGTTAGCTGCAGCAAGATTTAGAGCAAGTACTGTAATAACTGATGGAACCAAAGTAATAGAAAATTAATAAGCTAAAGTGCTCTGGGTTAGAATTCAAACAGATAAGCAAGGGTGCAAGATAGCATCCCAGACCTAACAATTGTCAATACTTAAGACAAAAAGAAAAAAAATCTGGATGCTAGATATAGTAGTATCTGGAGACAGCAGAGTAGAAGAGAAAAAACTGGAGAAAAACACAGAAGATAAAATAGAACAACTGGGCAAAAGAAAAGAAAGATAGTATCAATAGTAATATGCTCCAATCCCCAGACATCTGGAGAACCACTTGAACACACAGGGACTGACAAAATCACCACCAATCAACTGCAGAAGGCTTCTTTACTTGGAACAATTTATGATGATACCTTTATCACCATCAAACAACAACTGCCTATTCTAAATCCTAAGAAAGGCTAGGTGGATCAAAATGGCAACTCCATTTTAAACATCTGGCTAGCTGCAACCCAACCATAATAAAATGTATATTAAATTTATATACTTCCTGACTCCCAATGACTCTGGTACACATATTGACCTTATAATTTGGATGCAGCCAATTTGGTGCAAAGATAACCAATAATAAAAGTACAGTAATAAAATAAAAGTACAATAGTTTTTGTTGACTGAATATATTTAACAAATATTTCTTTTGTAATATTTGAGTTTTTTAGTTACCCTTATCAGACCCTGCTCACGTTAGAAGCAGCTGTTATTATAAAAATCTTAGGTTCTCTTTAATAAGGCTTACTTTAAAAGAGTGCATAATTAAATACATAAAACATCCATCAGGGGGTGCTCAGATATTCTGACAATTTTCCTCTCCTCATTTCTCAGTCCAAAGTCCATTTTCTGATTGATACTCTTAGCACTTAATTTGGCAGAAAGTGTTGTCCATGACTTCCTGCTAACGATGTGTCTTTAAAGAAATATTGGTATTTTAAATAAAATCCAATCGCTCACAGTTTCTTAGAACATAAGCAAAATATCCTTTGATATTGACTGTTAACACATGTGGTATATTGTAATTCGAGACACATTATAATTGCTTTCATTACTGGTTGGTTCTTTGTAGATCCATCTTTATTTCTCTGTGAAGAAAGCCCCCTTCCGCTCTTAAAAAAAAAAATCCTATAGAGTTACTTGGAAAAACATTTGGTGAAGCAAGTCTCACATTTCACTTATGCCTTATATATATATAGAAACCAATAATCTGCTGTAAGATGCTAGGGGTTCTGCTAACTGAAATATTTTACTATATTTACTGTATGTATTTGTCCTTTTCATATTTTTTAATCTGTTATCTGAAACTTGTTGCTCGGTTTTTCCACATTATTTTAAATTTCTGGACCATCATGCCTTGGTGGCGCAGCAGACTAAAGCACTGTTAAGTAACACCAGCTGCCTGCAATTACTGCAAGTTCAAATCTCACCAGGCTCAAGGTTGACTCAGCCTTCCATCCTTTCGAGGTAGGTAAAATGAGGACCCGGTTTGTGGGGGCAATAAACTGATTTTGTATAAAAAAGAACACCGCTGAGGGGGGGGGATGAAAGCCCTACTAAGCAGATATATACAAAAGTATGAAGGCTATTGCTTAAAAGCATTGTAAGCCGCCCTCAGTCTCCGGAAAAGGGCCGCATATAAATCGATGTGGGGAGCATTGGATTATGGGTGTGGGCACATGTACGCGCGTTATTGCGCACACACGTGAGCTTTTGGCACCCGAGGATAAAAAAGGCTAGCCATCACTGGGCTAGAGCATTGGCTGCCATGGGACAGGAGCTACAGCAAGGGCCACAGCAAGGGACTTATAGGTTTGGTCCTCCATAACTGTCCCAGTTTTGCATGTGGAGAAGGGTTGGCCCTTGTACTAGTTAATAAATGAAGTAGTATATAAAATGAGAGCAATATATAATGAATTATTATATAAAATGAAAGCAAGCTGCACTTTTACTAACACTGATGGTGTCACTTAGTTTGGTAATGAAATGTCTGCAAGAAAACAAACTCAGAGAGCACCAAGAAATCCATTGTTCAACCCTGAGCTATAAATAATCGACCACTACAGTTGGGTTTTTGATGCTTTCTGAGTTTGGTTGCAGATATTTTATCATCTGAGTAGATAATATTGTCAGTGTTTATGGGTGTGGGATTTGATCCTGCTTGTATACAGTAGCTTGCCCTGCCAGTATTGATGGCAATGGTAGTTTTCTCCTAAGTAGTTCCTTGATTAGGCTATTGTCTGCTTGATTCAATAGCTCCTTGCTAGCGCTTGAATAGGGTATTGCTTTCTGCTTGTTTATCTTGTGCTTATCTTACTTATCTTGGTGTAGAATGATGTGGAGAAAATGTGCTCTGGTCTTTTTGTTTCTTTTTTAGCTTTTTTTAAAATTATCTCTGTTGAATGGTATGTCCTGTAAATGTGGTTTATCTCTATTTGCCTAATGATAGCTCATAAGTCTAAGTTTCTAAGAATTTCCTATAATTTTTTAGATTTAGTTTGGTCTAGGATGCTTACAGTACCAGCTGAAACTATATTTGAATGTATCCATGAGTTGTAAAGTACTTTTGTTGCATAAGAGGTTCTTTTTCTTTTCTTTTAATCTAAGATCTATTTAAGTTAAGTTTTGGTAATTATGTTAGGACATCTTCTAACTGTCTAATCATGTAGCCAGCATGACTAAACACCAAAGGTGCATGAAATGCTATTACCTTCCCACCAAAGGTGGTCTCTATTTTTTTACTTGCATTTTTTACGTGCTTTCGAACTGCTAGGAGAAGCTGGGACCAGTACCGAGAGCTCACCCCGTTATGCGGCACTAGGGATTCGAACCGCTAAACTGCCGACCTTTCGATCAACAAGCTCAGCATCTTAGCCACTGCACCCGTTGCATATATATATTCTCGTATGTACGTACGTACGTACGTATGTATGTAAGCCTATTGAATTGTTTCAAATTTCAAATTTAAAAATAAAATGGCAGTTTAACATTGCCCAATTGTTCATGCAAATATAAATACTCCCCTGTATATAAATTGATCCTTCCTTCCTTCCTTCCTTCCTTCCTTCCTTCCTTCCTTCCTTCCTTCCTTCCTTCCTTAAATAAGGGGAAACTATTCTTGTGTTTTACATCAGTGATGGGCAAAATGATATTCATTACTGTTCTAGAAAAACATCTGCTTCTAGGAGTTAAAGCCACAGAGCTGAGGGTAGCTGTTATATAATCAGTTGCTTGAAAGGAAAAGAACTAATCAAGATAGATCAGATCCAGGAGAGTCTGCAGGGTATGATAAAATAAGTCCAGATGGCAACTTCAAGGGTGTGATTGAAATTCAGCCTACTTTTTTTATGTCTGTTGCCCATTCCCTTTACATTTGGTAGCTTTTTATTTATTGGCTCCTTTTCAGCAGGTCCTGCTTGTTTCAGGGCCCAAATCTTTAAAACAAGGACCAACAGCCCAGAATGACCTCAGAATTTAACTCATGCCTCCCAACTTTAAAGTTTGGTGGCACCAAATTCCAGCTGCCATGCTTGATGACAGTATAGTATTCACATCATTATTATGACCCTATATTGAAGTAGTTATTGGTGAGACGTAATGGGACCTTTTCAATAGCTATTGATGGCAATCGGCTTGAGATCAGTTTACTCTCTCAAGAATGCATATCTTAAACATCAGCTACTAAATAGATGGTAGTTATCCTTCTGTTCATGTCAATCAACTTTCAGAATGGCTTTGATTGGCAATTGTGTGACACACAAGGTTGGATTAACTGGGCTTTTTATATTAATCACCAAAACTTAGACAACCAGTTTGGTCTAGGGGTTAAGACACAAAGATAGAAAGTGGGAGACCGTGAGTTCAAGACCCAC